GGATTTTAGTCTTGACCATCAAAAACACTTCGATTGGATCTCTGAAACGGGAATGGGAGTATCAGATACATTGAATTACGTTCTGTTTTCTAATCCCGTCAGCTCGAGTGCCGGTTCGTTTACGAAAACTGCTGCATCAGCTGTAAGTCGCTGTTATTTTTTAATAAAAAATAAAAGGAATCAATTTATTTATTGTTATCGCCTGATTTTTAGCGACTGGGTAATGCTTCTATAGTTTATTCTATTTTTGAAACTTTGAGGTCATGTAGATACCATACAGCGATCAAAATTGTTTTTTTTTGACATTTGTTAATTATATGAGGAATAAATATCCATGAATTTTTTAGGTTATCAATTATTCAGGCGTCAAGCCCCGTGTTGAGTACAAACTGGTTCCACCTGAGCCTTTGTGGAAATCGGCAGCAGCCTCAGGACCTTATTTGAAATTGGCAGGACTCAGTGGAGCAACTGCAGTCATCCTCGAGGCATATGGAGCTCGGATTTTTTTCGGTATTCGGTATTCGGTAATTAATTTTTAATTTTTCAATTTCAGTGAATACCTCCTCGATTTTAATTCTCCTCTGATGCTTTTATGAAAATTTTGAATTTTCAAATTGCAGTGAATAACTCCTCGATTTTCATGCTCTCCTGATACTGTTTTGAAAATTTCGAATTTTTCAATTTCAGGGAATACCTCCCCGATTTCCATGCTCCCCTGATACTTTTTTGAAAATTTTGAATTTTCAAATTTCAGTGTATACCTCCTCAATTTTCATGTTCTCCTGATATTTTTTCAACCATTTCGAATTTTTCAAATTTTAGTTAATACCTCCTCGATTTTCATGCTCTCCTGATACTTTTTCAAAAATTTCGAATTTTCAAATTTCAGTGAATACCTGTTCGATTTTCATGCTCCCCTTTTATGGTGCCCTCTCTCCCTTGGGGTGAGGTACTACAATATCGCTGGGGTCACTCCAATCCCCAGAACTGAGCCTCTACTTTAGTCAATCCTCTTTGATCTGCTCCATCGATAATGGGGAGGGGCCATTCATGCTCGCAGCGCCGTATCGTAAATAGGAGAAGAGAGTGTTGACGAGTTGTAATCGTTGGAGCACAGGAAAAGTTTTTTTTTTCGTAGCAAGTGCCAGTGTTTTGATTTTCCCATCCTGAAAAAACAGGAGAAATGTCAGGATGAGGAGTGCTACATGGATTTGGATTTTCGCGACGGCTGTTGCCGTCGAAATAGTCGCATGTGAGTTCTATTATATTAATTAGTTGATTGAAGGAACGACATACTTGATGCATGACTCCTCCGACCCAACCCATTCCACCGTGATGCACATTCAAATCACTGCATGCGTTCATCATTTTTTTATAATCAAACAGCGGGAAGAAAACCCTTTTCATTTTCAAATCCTCATTACTCAACACAAAATTCATCAATTGGGCGAGACTTATTTCGAGGGGCGGAAAGCCTTAATTACTTCGTAGAAAACATTACATTCTATTCATCAGTCATTTCGACACTTGCTGACATATGAAAAAATATCGATACATATCATTTTACTCCATTGCCTCCTCTTTTTCATCAATGCCTGTATGAAGACGCTCTCCTTGAGTTGTTATTCATTCTCCACTGAATAAAATTTATGCAAAAAAAGTTAATAGAGATGCTGTTGATTTTCAGGGGAATATCCATGCGATCTGCCCCTTCTGGCAGATTCCACAAAAAATAAACTCATGGCCACTACCTGGATGCCTGATAGGACACCAGCTGATGCTCAACTATACGGTAATTACCAGGAATTATTATTTTTATAGATTTGAGAGTGGAGCATTGCTTTTAATCGTTGTGAGTACTTAAATGGTAGTTTGGAGCTGTGGAGTGAATTGTATTGATAAGAAATTGGAATTATCCATTGGAATTTATGTTTTGATTCTGAAACTCATTCTTATTCCAGTCGATTTTATTTCTGCGAATGAAATTGTGCGAATGGGCTCACTCCCATTTGCAATTGGTCACTTGTCACTCACAATTTACTCCCACGTGTGTAAAATTATTCGAGGCAGCTTGATATGTATTTCCATTATTGATATATTCATGATTCAGTAGTGAAGACATTCACCAGCACAAATTAATGCCCACGCAACAATATTTTGTTCTCGAATGTCTGTAAATCTGATAGAGCCCGCGATATTTTTTGTAATGACCTTTTATGTAGAATGGAGCGGGAGCCACAAAAAAGTTTATACAAAAATCTCTTCATCTCCCCTAGATTCCGAAATATTTCCCAAAAACTCATCTGTTATTCGAATCGACTCGTTATTCGTTCCTATTTCAGTTCTGAATTTCTCCTGGAAAACTTCTAAAGCTTTCAAATTCAATAATTATTCAAAATATTCAGATATTCTTAATGATCTTTCACTACTGAATTCTCGCGGAGAAATCCGCACACTCTGCATTCCTCACAAGGAATATATTTCCTAGATAATTCTCACGTTCCCATATAAATGTTCGTCGAAATGTTCACGTTTTGCATCGTCTGCATGAGAATGTTGTTGTTGTATGGGCACAGGCGAGAAAGCTTGGACGGCCCAGAGTTCAGACGATAATCAGTACTTCATGATCGATCTGGGGGAAGTCAAGAATATCACCGGCATTGCCACCCAAGGACGTGCTAAATACGCTGAATACGTCATAGAATACGGCATTAGTTATGGCACTAATGGTCGTAATTACATGGATTACAAAGAGGAGGACGGGAATACGAAGGTACGTCTGCTCGTGAAACTGTATGAATTATCAATGCACCTCGGATGATTCATCCAGACTTATTACCAAGTTGTAATGATTCATAAACCGTTTAAAATTTCTGCTTTGCTTTGACCTGCATGGAGTGCACTTTTCTGCTTCGTCATTAACACATTAATTAAATCATTCAGCAACTGAAAAATAAATCGCAATTCCCACGCAATTTCCGATGTTTTCATTTCATCAACTAATCCAATAAACCATTGGTTTGAGCAGAAAACACCAAGAGACCCTTTTTGTCGGTAATTAAATCAGCGATGAAAAAGTCTTTTGGGTTTTTTTCCTGAAACCCGTAGTTTTCGAGATAAATCGATGATTCAGAGATTTTCACTCGATTTTAATGAGTTCACTGATTGATTTTTGGATTGAATGCTATGGGGCGTTTTATCATTCACCTGCTTGAATCATCTGCTTGGAAAATCTGCCTTGATTAACTCTCTAACACTGGGTCTCGGACTGGGCTTTGCAGGAAACAGTGCCTGGTCACCAGCTGATAACACTTACAATCAGCTGTTAACAGTGGACTTGGGGGAGAGACATGAGATTAGGAGCATTGCAACACATGGTCGTGCTCATACGAGCGAATTTGTTATGGAATTCATCCTCCAGTACTCTGATAACGGTCATGCTTGGATCAGTTATGAGAGTCAGGAAGGGGTGGAAGAGGTACTTTATTTGGCATTTCCACCAGAACAATTGACCGTTCGACTTGTCTTACTTTAACTCTACACATCGTTAGTGAATTCTTTGCTTCACTCATCGCCTACTAAATTTATTTACGCACATTCCCATCCCCTCGTTTTATCATTTTATCATTATATCATTTTATCACGAGTCTGAAATATTAACACTAGATGCCAATCTTTTTTACTGTTTTTGTGGGATATAATTCTGGGGAATATTTACAGATGTTCAAGGGAAATACTGACGCGGACTCTATCAAGTTGAACAAATTTGATGTTCCTATTATCGCTCAGTTCATCCGGATCAATCCGACTCGGTGGAAGACGAGAATATCCATGAGGATTGAGCTCTACGGATGCCCCTATGGTATTTTTATTTGATTAATTCAGCTGTAAATTCTAGTACAGAACTCCTGGGGATTTCAGTAAAAAATTGTATTTTTTTTTTCGTAGTCTCGGAGGTAGCCGGGTTCAACGGTACCTCTCTGATCGCGATGGATCTACAGCGAGAGCCGATCGAGACAGATCGTCACTCCCTGCGTTTTCGTTTCAAGACCAACGCAGCTGATGGAGTACTCCTGTATTCCAGAGGTACCCAGGGCGATTTCCTGGCAATTCAACTGCGTGACAACCGAATGCTCTTGAATATCGACCTGGGCTCCGGTATGACAACGAGTTTCTCTGTGGGAAGTCTTCTCGATGACAACCAGTGGCACGACGTCCTGATCTCTCGATCCCGTCGTGACATCGCTTTCTCAGTGGACCGAGTCCTGGTGAAGGGAAAAATCAAGGGAAAATTCCACCGACTGGACCTCAACAGGGCACTCTACATCGGTGGAGTTCCCAACACTCAGGAGGGACTTGCAGTCACCCAGAACTTCACTGGATGTATCGAGAACTTCTACCTGAATAAAACGAACGTCATAAGAGATCTCAAGGATGTTGAGGAGTACGGGGAGAATACGAGATTTCATCGAATCCACACGATCTTCGGTTGTCCAGATCTTCCGATAATCTCCGTGACTTTTCTTAAAGCAGAGACCCACGCCAGGATGAAAGGCTACGAGGGCGCCTCCTCCTTGAATGTCTCCCTGGCCTTCAGAACTTATGAGGAACGAGGGATAATTCTCTACCACACGTTCACAACTTCTGGATTTGTGAAGCTCTTCCTTGAGGATGGGAAGCTCAAAGTAGAGATCCAGACGAAGGGAAACTCCAAAGTTATTCTTGATAATTTCGATGAGAGGTTCAACGATGGCAAGTGGCATGAGACAATTTTGACAATATCAAAGAACAGTATCATTCTGAATGTTGATGGCAGACCAATGAGGACAAAACGCCTCCTGGAGATATCGACAGGTCCTCTTTACCTGGTGGGAGGTGGACTACTGGGGAGTCTGAAGAACAAGGGATTCGTGGGATGCATGAGGATGATTAGCATCGATGGAAATTACAAACCCCCAACTGACTGGAAAGAGGGAGAGGAGTACGTGGGTGAGGGAATTGTTCTGGACTCCTGTCAGATGCTGGATCGTTGCAATCCCAACCCCTGCAAACACGGTGGCACCTGCAGGCAGACATCCACACAATTTATCTGTGATTGTGCCAATACCGGGTACTCAGGAGCAGTCTGTCACACCTCCCTGAATCCCTTGTCCTGTGAGGCCTACAAGAATATCCACTCGGTGAGTCAACGAGCTGAAATCGAAATCGATGTCGATGGTAGTGGACCCCTGGACCCCTTCCCTGTCACCTGTGAATTCTTCGCTGATGGCCGAGTAATGACAGTCGTACGTCACAGCAATGAACTCGCAACACCTGTCGATGGATTCCAAGAGCCTGGCAGCTTCATCCAGGATATCAATTACGACGCCAATTACGATCAGATCGAGGCCCTACTCAATAGATCCATCAGCTGCCGACAGAGGATCAATTATGCCTGCAAGCACTCCAAGCTGTTCAATACTCCGGTTCACCAGGGTGAGGCGTTCACACCCAATTCGTGGTGGGTCAGCAGGGGAAATAAGAAGATGGACTACTGGGGTGGGGCTCTGCCTGGTTCAATGAAATGTGAGTGTGGAGTCCTGGGGAATTGTGCTGATCCCACGAAATGGTGTAACTGTGACTCTGGATTTGAGGGATGGCTAGAGGATGGGGGGGATATCACTGAGAAAGAGAATTTACCAGTCAGACAGTTGAGGTTTGGTGACACTGGAACACCACTTGATGAGAAAGAGGGGAGATATACTCTGGGGCCTCTTATCTGTGAGGGCGATGATCTATTCAAGAACGTTGTGACTTTCAGGGTTGTCGATGCCACTGTTAATTTACCCACTTTCGATATGGGACACAGTGGTGACATTTACTTCGAGTTCAAGACAACAATTCCTGATGCTGTGATTATTCACAGCACTGGACCCTCTGATTACATCAAAGTATCGATAACAACTGGCAATCAGATACAGTTTCAGTATCAGGCTGGGGATGGACCACAGACTGTCAGTGTCCAAACGTCGTACATGTTGACTGATAATAATTGGCATTCAGTTCTTGTCGAGAGAAATCGAAAGGAAGCCAGAATTGTTCTGGATGGAGCCCTCAAGAATGAGATAAGCGAGCCCCCAGGGCCTGTCAGGGCTCTTCATCTCACCTCTGAGCTGATTGTTGGCGCGACAACTCAGTATCGAGACGGATATGTCGGCTGCATCAGGGCACTCCTCCTCAATGGAAAGCTGCAGGACCTGAGGGATCACGCTAGGAGGGGACTCTACGGCGTCAACGAGGGCTGCACTGGAAAATGTGAGAGCAATCCCTGTTTAAATAATGGCACCTGTCACGAGAGGTACGACGGCTACAGCTGTGACTGTCGTTTCACCTCTTTCAAGGGGCCCATTTGTGCTGACGAGATTGGTGTTAATATGGGCTCCAATTCTATGATCAAGTACGATTTTATGGGCAGCTGGAGATCAACAATTGCGGAAAAAATTAGAGTTGGATTCACAACAACTAATGGTGGTAAGGGCTTTTTATTGGGTCTCTCGTCGAATATCTCTGGAGAGTATCTCTCCATTTTCGTTTCTAACTCTGGACATCTTCGAGTTGTCTTTGATTTTGGTTTCGAGAGGCAGGAGATTATTTTCCCTGCCAAATACTTTGCTTACGGGCAGTACCATGATCTCCATTTGTCAAGGAAAAATGGAGGTGCCACTCTGGTTCTCCAGGTGGACAATCTCGAGCCCAAGGAGTTTCATTTCGATATCAAGGCGTCAGCTGATGCCCAGTTCAACAATATTCAGTACATGCACATTGGAAAGAATGAATCGATGACTGATGGATTCGTGGGCTGCATTTCCAGGGTGGAGTTCGATGATATTTATCCTCTGAAGCTTCTGTTCCAGCAGGATGGACCCGCCAATGTGAAATCCCTTGGTGGACCACTTGCCGAGGATTTCTGTGGCGTTGAGCCCTTCACTCATCCACCGAATATCGTGGAGACGAGGCCACCGCCTCTCGTTGACAGCGATAAAGTCAGGGCTGCTTACAATGAGACTGACACTGCTGTTCTTGGGAGTGTTCTTGCTGTTATTCTCATTGCCCTCATTATTATGGCGGTTCTCATCGGAAGATACATGTCCAGACACAAGGGAGAGTATCTCACACAGGAGGATAAGGGCGCTGAACAAGCACTCGATCCAGATTCTGCAGTTATACAGTCGACAACTGGACATCAAGTACAAAAGAAGAGAGAGTGGTTCATCTAGGGAGTGGAGTTGTTGGCTGCAGATCGGATTATTTCAGGGGAGACTTGGAACTAAAGACCTCGAGTTTTAATTCTCTCTTGATATGTCGTAGGAATTGCATAATTCCATAAGTTTTCTTTTTATTTGTTCTTCGTTCTTCGATATTTCAGTCGCCGAGTGTAAAAGACGAATTTACAGTTTTTATTGGTTTTATACACTGAGGGACTGGAATTGTAGTTGATTCGCTTGTGTTCATTAACATTGAGGTCATGAAGGGAGGCATTGAGTGGAGATCCCACGAAATGATTTTTCACCACTCTATTACTTTTTTTTTGTAATTTTTCATTCCTGTCAGATTATTTTACGTTTAGTTTAGTCATGTACAAAAACGAATCTCGGAGAAACATTTACCGTCCAAACAGCATTTTACCTTATTTTTTAGTTGTTTTTTTTTTAATTGTGAAGTAATATATACAGTATGATAATAGGTTTTAGTGGTTTCGATACTCTTCACATCACCTCTGAGCTATGAATGCTTCTGATTGAGAATTCTAAATTCTTTTCATGTCAAAGGTGTACATAAGCTATGTTTTTATACAAAAATGTGTAGTTTTATACAATTTGGATTTTTCATTGGATTTTGGATATTATTGACGAAATAAATACTTACGTGTTTCACACATTTACTGCGGGTTTGTTGTTATTCACAAGAGATAATTAATTATTGATTCCAGGGGAATTATTTACTGTGAACTTCTAATAAAAATCATTCGATAAAATTTGAGAAAGCGGTGGGGCTTTGTAGAAAATTTGAATGCAGTCTAGGGATTTCTCAATTGTGGAGTGGTTCGTCTGAACTCTGAAGTTTGCTCAACTCCATAAAAGCTACACCTACATTCACTCATTCCTCATAAGGAACTTGTGAGACTCAAGTCGATTAGAGTCGATTACAGAAAATAAATGAATCCGTTATTTTAAAATCCACAATTGTGGAAACATCACCAGAAGTGCAATAATTAGTCCATCCTTAGTTTTTTTAATTACCGAGAAAGTGCAGTCTTCCAGGGGCTGACCTCGAGACCTCAGATCTATTGAAAGCCCTTATATTTGTGAAGTGTTTGATTGACTCCAGAGGGTCCACAGTCTATCCAGAAAATAAAAAAAGTTATTCCCTTCGAATTCACCGATATTTCCAGAATTCTCACTCTCAGGTGTCATCGATCGTCAATTTTGGGATCATGAATCTTTGGGACTCGAGACTTGTGTTATTCTTCTCATCCACGAGACGATAGTCAATAAACCGAGATGATTCCTCGAGACATTCTCTGAAAAATCGTTTTTCTGTTTTTCTACTGGAATTTTCGTAATTGTAAACAATGGGATTTGACGTCAATCGGTTCCAAGGGGAAGTCGATGAGGAACTTATTTGCCCCATCTGCTCTGGAGTTCTTGAGGATCCTGTACAGGTATTTTTTTTTTCATGACCCTTTAATTTTCAATTCCTTAGAGTCTTACAATGTCATTGAAAGGCAGTGCCAAAAAATCTTATTTTCTAATCAAAATTGAAGACTGTATTAAAGTAGAATAGTTTGGAATTGAAAATGTGAGAACGTCATCCGGAAATTTCATCCCAACACCCATACAATGCGGGAAAATTTTTCGCCTGAACGTCCACAAATCTAGTGCAGTTTCTGAATAGCAATAGATGAGTGATGTGTTGCAGGCTCAAGTATGTGAACACGCATTCTGTCGCCTCTGCATAAACGAGTGGATAAATCGTCAGCCCACGTGTCCGTTGGACAGGATTCCAATAACTTCAGCACAGCTTCGACCAGTGCCGAGAATTCTTCGCAATCTTCTGGCTCGTCTCTGCATCAACTGTGATAACATGAGGTACGGCTGCCAGGCTGTCATCAAGCTTGACAGTCTAGTGAGTCACCTGGAGGAATGTGAATTTAATCCGAAGAGACCAGTCCCCTGTGAGCAAGGCTGTAGCCTAATAATTCCGAAGGACGAGCTGAAGGATCACAACTGCGTGCGAGAGCTCCGAAGTCTCATTCAGTCCCAGCACCAGAAGCTCAGTGACATGAAGAGAGAACTTGGTGAGCAACAGTTTCAGATAAACGAGCAGAGGAGGGAGATTAATTTATTGAAGGACTTCATGCGTGCCATGAGAGTCTCCAATCCTGCCATGAGAGCCATTGCTGATCAGATGGAGAGGGACGAGGTTGTCAGATGGTCATCAACATTACCCAGGGCTAGGGTCACCAGATGGGGTGGTATGATCTCCACACCCGATGAAGTGCTGCAGGTATTTAATTATTAAATTACTCTTCACCTTTTTTTTCAACTCTGATTTATAAAAAAATTGTGTTTCGATTGAAGAATTATTATGTCATTCCAGACGATGATCAAGAGAACATTATCAGAGTACAACTGCCCACCCCACGTCATCGATGAACTCATGGAGAACTGTCACGAAAGAAAGTGGCCACCTGGTCTTAATTCCCTCGAGACACGACAGAATTCACGGAGACAGTATGAGAATTATGTGTGCAAACGTGTGCCTGGGAAGCAAGCGGTTTTGGTCCTCTATTGCGATAATGCTCATATGCCTGAGGATATGATGGTTGAGCCTGGACTTGTCATGATTTTTGCCCATGGTATCGAATGATTCGATCGCAATCTGGCATTTGTAGTCACTACTTCGAGATACCTGTGAGGAATATTACGTATGGGAAATTTTTATTACCAGCAATATGCATGCACATGTCATTGGGGACATGCCTCTCCCTGGCAAAGGGACGCACGACAAAAAAGAAATACTAATGGAAAAATTGAGGCCTTTCCGAAGGAATATATTGATTTGTTCCTCGAAAGAAGTTTTAATTGTAATTGAATAGAATTTCTTGGAGAAAAAGCAAGATTTTTCTATTAATTGTTTTTCTCTCGTTAACTGGTGATAAACTTTCGAAAAGTTTATCAAGATTATTTTTTAGCATAAAACCACGAAATTCCACGCGTTTAATTACTTTAAATAACTAAGACTGTGATATCCCCAACTGTCTATTGTCACAATGATAATTACATGCGACGAGTAATATAATGTACACGCCAGTTTAAAAATCTATAATGAGAATATATAATCCTGCTGCGTTTCACTGAAGCTAGTATTTTTTTAATATGTTCCTCGGTTATTTACATTTTTTTACAACATTCGGCTGTACTTGCTGTGTCATTACTCGCGCTTAACTCGATACTAGCTCCTAAGTTTTTGAATACTTACACTTTAATTTGCAGCCCTCCGTTTAATTAAGTGTCCTCCAAATTTTGGATCTCCCCAGAATGTTGTGTTTTTATAATGTAATTTACGTTTTTTAATACAAAAAAAATAAAAGAAAGATTACAGAATGGCATTTGTTTGTTGTAAATTCATTTTATAATTCATTTTTTTATATATTTTACGAATTCTCTGCCCACAGTTATTTACGAAAGAAATTGCAAAGAAAATTCTTGACTTAAGAAAGGAATTATTTGTCTTTTTTTGGCTGTGAGATTTGCATTTTAGATTGTTGGACAAACGCCAGTGGTAACGTGACCATACGTTCTCTCTGGATTTAGTGGTATCTCCTGATTGTTGATGATGATGTTTCTGATGCACCCAACGTATTGGGCGTGGGAGGTACTACCCCGCAGTCGTTTTCCTAATTGTGGATGGCCGCCGATAAATATTGGATTCTTTGAAAGAACTCCTGCTATATTCTTTGCACCTATGCTTGGTGGGGCTCCTGCGTGGTCCACCGAGAGGAGCACAGCATTCTTCTGCTTCGTCACTGAAATAAATACCAAATTCCATTAATACTGTCTACCTAAAATAATTTTCAAGATAAGGGAGAAAAGTATTTCTTTAGAGTAATTTCAGTTAAAGGGTAATTACCTCTGATATTATGCCAGAAACCATCGCACAGCGAATGAGCATTCAGATGTTTCGTCGTTGGATCGAAAGACGTCTCGATGCTTCCCTTTCCGGTCTTCACTAAGAACTTGATAGTGCCATTCACCATCTCCAGGAGAATAAAGTCACGTTTACCATGAATTGAGAGCAAGTGACCACTCATACTGCGAGGTTTGATGTCCATCTGGATATCAATGGTCTTTCCAACAATGAATTTATCCACTGAAAGAAATTTGTTCATTTAATCCTTTCGATTCATGACATTATTTAAGTATGACATCATTGATTCCCAGTGTTATAAACTCAAATTAACGTACTGGCTTTGAATAAATTGCTTCCATTTCCAGGATAGAAGAAAAGTCCTGGCTCGACTCGTTTGGAGCACCGAATGACTCCAATTTTCTCCTCAGGTTCACCCAGTGACTGTCCATTCATCATAAAGTTCCCGAGGCAACCACTGAACGTTTTATTAATTCCCTAAAAATAAATAAACATTAATCCATCCGTTAAGAAATGTCACAGGAATCGGAATGGAGCAAAACTGCAGAAAAATGCAATCTTACAATCTGCTCATGAATACTCGTCGCCATTTCCGGAATTATGCCTCCGACATAAAATGGTGGATTAACATTGAGAGCCTGGACATCGCCCTGAGAATATCCAGCCACAGGCGGCTGGTCATCGACAATCAGTTCTCCAAAGGTACTCCTCCTCTTGAAGACAATGGTGTGCCACTGATTGTCATTGATCTTGATCTCGCTCTGCAACAAAGCAGGTCCACTTCCACAGTCAAAGGTATGATGCACCCTTCCATTTTTCACATAAACCGCAATAAAGCTCTCCCTGGTGATCTCTGAGGTGTAAAATATAATTCCCTCATCAGCCATCGTCTTGACATCGATCTGGAAGTCGTATTCATCCCTGTAGGTACCACTGAGTGATCTGTACTCCAATCTGCTGTTCTTGGCAGTTCCAAATCTAAGTGCATTTTCACTGTCAGGATCTTCCTCAGGGAGATAAGGGAGCTTACATTGATCAGACTCAGGTGGCCTTGTGGGTATCACCGGCTCCTCAGTTCCTGGGGGAATAGTCACCCTGCCCTCTCCCTCCCTCTCAAGTTCACCTGTGTGATCGATCTCTACGTGAACAATATTGGCTTCTGTATTTGCCATTGTGATGGCGTCCACGTCCGTGACAAGTGGTGGTGGCCAAACAGCTGGCTGCCTCTCTGTAACTGGTGATGAAGATCCCTCGCCTCCTAGACATTTATCGAGCTGTGCATTGGGCCGCTCCTTCGTTCCCGCGAAATTTATAATTTCGCCATTAACCGTGGCATCTCCTATACAACCGATGAAGGAATCACGCTCGGCATTGGGAATCCCCCCGATATATAAATTACCGAATTTGATATTAAGCGGTGGAGGATACTGGGGGTTCGAATAGCTTTCAGAATCATCGATGTCGAGACGAAGGGCGTCGTTCTCGTGAGTGGCGGTCACCACGTGCCATTCGTTATCATTAAATTTGTTTCCCGCTAAACTACTGCTGACGTCCTCTCCGTGACTTCTGAACGTCAGTACACCGTCTTCAAGACGCAGAACACTGCTGGTAGTTTGTTCGGAATTTGTCGCGTAGAAGATGATGGCGTCTTTGGCAAGGGTTTTAAATTTCAAATTTATCTGGAGAGTGGAGTCTGCAGAGAGATTTGACCAACGAACGTATCCTGGAGCGTCTTCTTCGAAGGAGACAAGGCTAGCAAATCTCGTGGGACAGCCAGGCATCACACCGAATGCCTGGAGGTTCTTTGTGAGATCGACCGGGGTGTCCAGGATCGATAGCTGATCAATACAGCCCTCGAAGCCGATGTTCGATACGGATTTGTGCTGATGACGGATGTTAGGGGGATAACCCCCTACGTAGACATGATCTGTGGAGACTAGAACTTTGGCGTCGCCCTGGCTGGCATTTTGTCCGGCATGAGCTCCGTCTACATCCAGAGCCCCAGCTCCACCCAATCTTCTGGCTTCCACCATGTGCCACTGGCCATCGTTGTACTTATTTGGAGATATCAGAGAGAACGTGCCCTCCCCGAGGCTGAATTGATACAGAATCTGACCGTTCCGCATCTCCAACGCAAAGAACTGCTTACCTTTTCCCATCAAGAACATCAGTCCGTCCTCACTAAGTGTTTTAAATGACATCTTAATGCCAGATTTATGCTGATCGTAACGTATGTTTGAGTTTTTCATTCCAATGATTGCATAGCCGTTCCTGTCGAAGCGGTATCCAGTCGCTGGTGTGAAGTCCACGAGTTTGTCCCTCTCCATGGCAACTTGTCGATTGTTCTCTCCCTTTTTAAAGTTCCAAAATGAAACGGGTACATCACCCACTACGAGATCCTCCATTTCGCCCTCGAATGAAGAAGCAGTCACTGCGTCCTGCATTTGGAAAGATGAATCATAGCCACCGACAAAGAGCTTCGAAGTCTTCTGATCCAGATCGAAGATGGAGGACGTTCGCTTGAGTACTTGCTCTTCGATGAACTCTTGGTATTTGTCAATTCCACCCACGTCCTCCCTGACGATGAGTTTGACATTCTTACCGGTTCTGTCGACGATAATCTGCCTCCAGACGTTGTCCGAGACGAATTTGTTGTTAACGATCTTGACTGGGCCCGAGCCGAGATCGATCACGAGAACTGGATAGCCACTCTCGATCATAAGTGCAAGGAAGTCGTGGGTTTTCTGACGGGGAGTACTGGGACGCGCTTCATTACCGAGGTAGAGCAGGAAGCCGTTAGTTTTGTTAGTTTTGAAGTATACAGAGAGCTTCGTGGAGGTGGCCAGAAGAGGAAGACTCTCCGGGTTCTTCAGCTCCAACGTCGTGTTCCTGTAGAACGTAAGTCCCGTCTTGAATCTATCCGCCAACTCCCTGGCATTCGCTATTTTCATCTTGAGAGCTTCAATCTTCGCCTTCAGATCGTTGCCAGTCCTGTCCATGGCCCGCTGCTTTTCACCGAGCCTGTTGAGGAGATCCGACATATCCGGGACAACTTTGCTCACAGAATCCAACTGCTTCTTCGCCTGTGAGATATCTCGAATCGAGTCTGACCTGTCTTTCGACAGATTCTTGCTTCTCTGGAGGTCCTCCGACACTCGGTCTGGTACGTCCTTAATGTGATTCTGAACACGTTGGATGAGATCTTCGATGTCCTGAGCCTCTTTCATAGCTTCCTCAATCAAAGAATCCATAGGCACTTGTAGATTGTTCAGAGTTGAATTAATCCTATCCAGATTCTCCTCGTTTCTTCTATTCGTTCGAGCCAAAATCTTGGCGTCTTCTTTCGCCTGGTCAAGGTCCTCCTCAAGGGTGCCATGTGTCTTGGTTAGGGCGTTGTCAGCAGCTTGATTAAGATCCTGTGCCCGCTCATAAGCGCCAGTGGATTTATTACCGATTCCCCGTGATAGACTAGTGGCGTTGTCGGCCGCTTCGGTGGCCTCCGCTGCTGCATTTTTCGCTACCTGGATTGCCATCTCGATGTCTCTGTAAGCGGAGACTGCTCTAACAGCGCTGGTATTCCTGGTCCCGGTGAGAACGTCGTCCAGCTCGAGCGAAAGCCTATGAAGGTCTTCAGCGTGATCAGTTGCCCTCTGAACGGTATCAAGGCTGTCCAGGAGTCCATCGTCGTTCAGTTCGAGGATTTCGTTGAGCGATGAGAAGGTCTCGTCCTGAACCTTTGTTAAGTCATCCAGCGACTCGAATGTCACAACTGCGCTAGCTAGGAGCTCAGTGGCATTTCTATTTAATTTATCTCCAGCGGACACGTCGTCCTCGGTTTCTGCTGTGGCATTTCTAATCATCTCGAAGTTCCCTAATTCTGTGACTCTCTTGCTTTCATCTATGAGCTTCTTCGCAGAACGCGCGAGCTCGTCGGCCTTTCCCGCGTTCTCAATAAAATCGTCGAGCTTGTTATCAAATTTCTCTAGTTTCGCATCAAGCGTTGACGTTAACGAACTCAAATTATGCACTGGAACATTGTAGTCTAACATCTCCGACATGAGAACGTTGGCGTTTATCGATTGGTCGGTCGCCTTGTCACGGAAATCAATGAACGAAACACCCTGGATTCTTGAAAGGATCTCCTGAGCCTCCTTCAAGGCGCTATCAATTTTCGCACCATCACCAGAAGCGATGTTCGTAGCCAGGGACTGCACTTCCGCAATTATTTTGTGAACTAAGCGTATCTCCTTTTCCACGTCGGATTCAAGATCGTTCATGTCATTCAGGGTGTTCTCAGCCCCATCCTTCCACTGCTTGCTGGTCTCTGCCGTGTACTCCACTCGCCTTTTCTGGCTCAACACTTCCTGATCGAGCCGTCCGATCTCCACCTGCACCGGTGTCAAGTTGATCCTGCTGGGATCGAGTAAACGCACCTTCGGGTAGAGTTCATTAACGGTGTCATTGACGAATTTCAATCGCTGGTTCGTGTAGTAGCTCTCGGCGACGCTGTTGAACTCCTGGGCAACAGGCGCCAGAATGGACTGGAGATCGTCCGTGACGTCTAAAAGATCGTGAATACAGGAGTCGCATTGATAACAGCCGTCTCCCTCTTTGAGGACCCACCGGAAGGGACAGTGATCGCATTTCTCGCCGATAACTCCAGGAAGACAGGAGCACTGGCCTGTCGCAGTGTCACAAGACGCTCCAATAGAGTACCCAGTGTTGCATCCACAAGAACTACAACCCTCGGGCCCGTAATTCCAGTACCCAGCGATGCACCTGTCGCAGCTCCTTCCAGTGACCCCGGGCTTGCACTTGCACTGGCCAGTGACTTCGTCGCATTGACTCTCTTCCGATGCGAGACCGCAATTGCACGCTTGGCATCCAGTGCACGAGTCAAATCCGTAGTGATTAACAGCACATCGATCGCAGGACTCACCAACGACATTCGGTTTGCACTGACAGCGGCCGGTGTAACTATCACACTTGTCCATTCCGCACTGCGTGCAACTGCAGCTTTGGCAATTCTTCCGTTCAACAGCGTCCCCAAAGAACCCGGGGGCACACAGATTGCAAGCTTCACCGTACGTATTATTCAAACAATGTAAACACTCTCCAGTTATTGAGTCACATGAACCGATTTCGTTCGTGTCGATGTTCCCAGAGCACTGACAGGGTTTGCAGAAGTCACCCTCGATGTTCGGGTCCCCGTAGAATCCGGCAGCACATGACTCGCACCGAGCACCATAGTACCCTGAGAAGCAGCTGCAACTGATTTTATTTCCGGCTTCGTTCACCTCACAGCTTGTCGCAAAGTTATTGGACGGAATTGGCAATGGACATGCGCAAATGAGACAGTCCGAGGGGGTTCCCATAGTTGCATTTCCGTAATAACCTTCCTCGCAGAGTTCACAGTGATCGCCAGTGGTGCCGTTTTTACAGTCGTGGCAGACGCCGGTCTTCACGTCGCAAGTCTCAGCGTGACCGTTGCACTGACATTTCACGCAGGAGCCGCCATATGGACCGGATTCCACTCTGTAGTATCCTGGGGCGCACTCCTCGCAGGAGAGGCCTTGATAATTCGGTGGGCATTGGCACTGCTCGACGCTATTAGCCAGAACGCTGTATTTGCTGTAGAGTTCGGTAGTTGTATCTAGAGTGACTTCCGATAGAGACGCCTTGATGCTTGCTTCCCAGTAGGTTGCCCTGATATAAATTCCTTTGAGGTTCTCCAGGAGAACTAACAGCTGCTCGCGAGAGACCTGTTGGTTCTTCGTTGTGAAGAAATTCGTCTCGATGAGCTCGACGGAGCCTGGGAAGTTCGTGAAGGACGGGGGCTGCTCGTCGCCATAGTAGAAGACCACCGAGTCAGCTCCGAGAAGCACAACATCTGGACCAGCAACTGCTTTGCCGAAGGGCCCAGTGCTGTAATGAATCGTGTAGTTTAAGAATCCTCCGTAAGACGTTAAACGCTTTCCTAAGTAGCTCTGAGGGGCTGAAAAGTAGATGACGTTGTTGAATGTTTCGTTCTGAGCCAGATTCATGATGATCGATGTGTCGTTGTACTCCTGGGGGCTCGACTCCAGAGTAGTCACTTCCCCGGTCTTGTCCTGCACCAGGGCAATGTCCCAGTTGAGCATGTCAAAGATGTAGCTCCTGTAGAGATTCGCTGACACACAGCGAGTTGTTTTGCCGAAGCAGAAGCACTTGGAGCATCCCTCTTCGTTGTTCGGTTGAAGATTGAAAGTCCCTTCTTCGCAGACATCGCAAGCGGATCCTTGAACATTTGCTTTGCAGTGACACTCAGCTGTAGACTGATCGCAAACGTCTTCCGTTGTTCCCCTGATATCGCAGTCGCACTTCACGCAGTATGGGAACTGAGAGTGTCCTGGCCGGCATCTGTCGCACTGACGTCCAACTACGTTATACTTGCAGCTGCAGGTGCCGTTGAGGAGATCACACTGCAGGTTACCGTTGAGGACACCCTGTGGCATGCAGTTGCACTCCTCGCAGCCGATGATCGGGTGGAAGCCGTATGTCCCTTCTTCGCAGCGATCGCATCGTTCCCCGGTGACTCTAGATGGACAGATGCACTCGCCAGTCTCAGGCTCGCAGAGTGCTGTACTCGGGCAGTTGCAAGGCCGACAGTTCGGGTAGCCGTAGAATCCGGTCTTGCAGATATCACAGCGACGGCCGATTATGTTCGGCTTGCAAGGACACTGTCCACCAAATTTCTCGCATTCGAAGCTCGTTGTACCTTCGAGAGAACACGCGCAGTTCAGGGCCCCACTATTGTAATCAGCAGTCAATGAGAAGATCGAGTCCCTGCAGAAGCCCTCTTCTGTGGTATTTATGTAGAAGTGATTGTTGCCACAACGTTTCAAAAACTCCTTTGTTTGATCGAATTGGATCTTCTTAAGAACCTTTTCATTGTACTGCTCAACTGGAATGATCAGCATATAGTCGAGCCAGATGTTGTGTTTTGGGTTCTGGAAGGTCAGGACGACGTTCTCAATGAGATTGAACTTCGAGTTGCCATCCTGCTGACGAATGATGCTCCTGCAGCCGCTGTTGCTGGGACAGTGGGGAACGGGGGCCTTCGCCTCATAGAACTTTCCGTTTTGAATGAGAACGTCTACTTCGAACTCGGGATGGTCAGGTTGATAATACTGGATGACAAAGACATAGTCACCCGGGCGGGGAACTTTCGTCTCAATATTAACGACCGAATCGCTATTCCCGAGGTAGATCAATTTTGTAGCGCTGTCGAAGATACCTGTGGGACGAGGATCGACGTCCAGAGCTTCGTTGGACGTTTCGAACTCGACTTTCTTGGCATCAGCCGCTCCTGGGAACATACCCTGCACGCATTTTCCATTGGTTCGTACGCAGACAGATTTCGGTTTGACGTAGTCCAGGGACCAGTGATCGTATGGAATAGCCACGACCGATTCAATAGCGACATTAGAGTCTGTTTCACCTGTCAGTACGATACTAACGAAATTCGTTGGAAAACTGTAGGCAGCGACTTTCCCCAGACGATCTGTCACCACTTGACGACAGATACTTGTGTACCTGCAGGGATGAAGAGTAACCTTGCCCTTTCCCACTGTATTCGCCTCGATATTCACGACTGATGTGGACATCTCGTCCCTGTAAGTGACATACGTCACCAGAAGAACGTGAGCACCTGGTTTGGTCACACGAAGTTCGAAGTGAATTGTCTGCTGATGATTGCTGATCATCGGTATCTCATCCTGCCTCATCTCCTCGAGTACATCTACGTCGTCGAAGTACTCATTTAGCGCCAATCTCACTCCATGATCATTCACAAAGCCACCGGACCCGCGCACCGAGTCAAATTGCGCAACAGAGGGATAGCCGTAGTGTCTGCACAGTCCCATCTGTCCAATCTCACATGGAACGTCTACGTCTTGAGTTAAACGAGTGGCCTCATAGTATTCAGCTGGCAGAAGAACGAAGTAATCGAGGAAGAGGTTCTTTCCCGTCTTGATGCTGATTGACCAGTACCCAGGGTTCATCACCATTGCTTCAGGGTGATTCCCATGGACTCCAGCCACGGTCACGAACTCGGGATAGTCAGCTGACTTGAACTGCACCTTGAACTTCTGTTCAACCTCTGAGGGACTGTCCGGAGTGATGGTGATATCCCCGAGAACAGGTTCATTGTTCTTGTTGACAAATCTCAAGACCATTCTGTAGAGTGACGACTTCTGGATGTAGACGCGGTGGATAATCTCGTCCTGGAGGTCTGAGAACACAGCGTAGCCCTTCCAGCTGTACCCGGGGAAGCTGTCCTCGGCGTAGCCATAGCGAACAGCGTTGTTACTCGGTGTTCTTCCGTCCTCGACCTCGTACTGGAACTGGTGGAGCGTCGGGAAGTAGTGGGCCTGCAGGGGTTCCTTACAGGTGAGACCAGTGACACGGGGCTGACACGCACACTGGCCGGATTGCTTGTCGCAGATGGAACTGATTGATCCACCGATATCGCAGTTGCACACCGAGCATCCGAAGAGATTTGACCCCTGAAGATCGTACGTACCGTCGACACACTGAGAACAGGCACGATTTGTCACTCCAGGTTTGCAGATACACTGACCGGTTCTGGGATCGCACTCCCCGATGCCACCGATAACCCCAGGGATGTTGCAGTTACAATCCTCACAGCCGTCAGGATTGCTCTGCTGGAGATTCCAGAACATCGGCTTGCACTGATTGCAGATTCTACCCTGCACCTGGGTCTTGCACTGGCAGAGCTCACCCGCTGGCAATGAGCCACAGCCCATGAAGGATTTCACAACACCTGCCGGGTCGCAGTTGCAGCCCTCGCATCTGAGTAGATGATTTTAACGGCACAGATGAAAAACAGAAAAGCATATACATATGTGTTAATGAAACGTTAGGATGGCTCTTACCGTCGATTCCTAAAATGAACAATTTGATAACAATTTGATAACACCGTATTCACCTGGGGAAATTGTAGAATCCCTCCTTGCAGGTATTGCACTGATCTCCGTCGAAATTCTCTTGACACTGGCACTTGCCGTCGTTGTCGCAGGAGATGCCGATGGAGCCGTGGGAATCGCAGTCGCAACTGACACACTCCGGATAGTTGAAGTAGCCTGGGCTGCACTGGTTGCAGGTCCTACCCGCGAAATTTCCAAGGCAGGAGCACTTGCCAGACGCATCGCAACTAACGGATGATGAGCCGACGGTGCTGCAGTTGCAGGGCCGACAGTTGGGATAGCCATAGTATCCGATTATGCACTGATCACATCGTGCACCACCGTAGCCCTCTTTGCACAGGCACTTGCCGTCATCCTTGCTGCAGATGCCCACCTCCGTGCCACGTGTATCACAGTTGCAGAAGCTGCACTGCGGATAGTTGAAGTAGCCGTGCTCGCAGGTGTCGCAGGTGCGACCCTGAAAATTATTTTTGCAAGTGCAGTTACCGGTGAGAACATTGCAGACGTCGTTGGAGGAGCCCACGGGGTTACACTGGCAGGGAAGGCAGTCGGGGAAGTTATAGTAGCCCTCGGCGCACAAGTTGCAGTAGTGACCCGCGTAATTGGCCTTGCAAGGGCAGTAGCCGTCGATTGCTTCGCAGTGGTAGCCCTCTGTGCCACCCAGATGACAGTCGCAGGGACGGCAGTCAGGGTAACCGAAGTAACCGTATGCGCAGGAGTCACAGTCGGGGGATGTGAATTCCTTTCGACATTCACACTTCCCGGAGGACTCCGCGCAGTTACCAGTCGAGTAGAATTGGTTACAGTCACACGCTATAATAGGATAAATTTTTTAATGTGGTATTTCAGTCAACTGACTGACAATTACAATTATTTCGCATATGAGAAGCATATGAGACAACCGTATAAATCCTTATCAATATTATTTATAATTATAATGTCATTCCAAACTATAATGATACATACGTTGACAAACATCGGTTGCATTCAGGGGCTTTCCCCGTGGTCTGTAGAACTTCGGTTTGCATTTATTACAATTAATGCCCTCAGTGTTGTCCTGACAATTCTGACATACACCACCTCCTTCGTAGAGCCCGTGAATGTCCAGAGACAAACGCAATTCATCAATCGTTCTATTGTAAATGCAATCGTTGGAGTGTCCGAAGCAATTGCAAGCTGTAAGGATAGTGAGAAAATTAATACCAAATACTTGAGGAAGGTTTGATATTCGGACACTTACGTTCGCACACGAATTTATGGGATGCAGTGGACTGCCGCCACTTTTTCTGCTGGAATCCAGGAAGACATGACGCGCATTGTGGACCGTACGTGTTGTGCTGGCAAATACATTCTAGCTTATTCGCCTGATTAGGATCTCGAATGTCGCAAGTGTCCGCATGTCCATTGCACATGCACCTTCCACCGATGCTGATGTCTTTGATAGAATAAAAATACTGGAATAAATCATTCAAATCAATACCAAATACTTCAATCGATACCCAATCGATTTTCCAGCATTCCTGAAGACGGATTATCCCGCAAACTATTGGTTTTAAGAAAACACATCAAAAGACCATTTTTTTGGGGAATTTGATGAGCCACAAAAAAGTTCTTCAGTGATTTCTTCTCACATCCACAGTTTTTGAGATAAATCGAGAAATACAGGAATGTTGTTATGAATTTTACCACAAAAGCTAATGGATTGTATATGGGTCATTTAGACCAGAGAATTTCCAAGACTATCAATGGATTCATTATCACTGATGATTTCCTGGGGTCTTGGGTTTATCGCGGACACAGAGACCCACAGAAACTCAGACCCGATAAGAGGAAATCGTCAGCGAAGTCAAATGAATACTCACTCTTCTCGTAACAGTGGGATCTTGTCTCGCCACTGACATCAAATGCCCCAGGAGATTTTTTGTCCTGAGGAATCGAAATCTCACGTTCGTCGCTCTGGTCCATTCCTGCAGAAGTGTCGAGTTGAAGTAATGAGATGCCGATGGCCGATTATTCAGAATCGAAATCGGAATCTCCCCGCCCTCCAAGGGGACGATTTTCGAGTACTCCGTCGTGCAGATGACGGAATCGTCTCGAGTTATCGGGGTATGACTGTCAACGCCGAAGTAAGTGATACAGTCGGCTTCGGAATCCGAAAAATACTGCCAGGGCTGCCAGGTTTTTCCGTAGTCCTTGGATTTCTCCAGGACCCACAGCCCTGGACGAGGAGAATTCCCCATTCTAATGTAGACATAGGCGACATGAAATTCCTACGGAAAAAATTCAAATACAAAAATTCAATTGCATTCCATCAAATTTTTAGTTTATTCATTCATTATAAATATTCTTTAGCGGTTCAATCGACTTCTTTATGATTTAAATTATCAGAAATCGAAATTTTCCTGAATTTTTCGTTTTATTACAGCGTTTTCTGGAAATTTATTCATACGTAAATGATTTAAATGTTTAAAAAAAAAATCGGTCAAGTTAATTACTGATTAATTATTGATTTGATCAACAATTATTGATCCACAGTATATTGAATCTCTTGTATCTCAATTTGAAAAACAATAATTTAAAAAAATCGCAATTCCCATTTTTTTCTTTATTTTCTTAAACTAGAAGAGTAATCGTCTAATCCATTCAACCAAATCCTCTCAGAAGATTGTAAGAGCCATTTCTTCAAAAAAAAAAAGGAGGAGCAAAGACCAGATGTGCCTCAAAACCCTATGAAAACGCTTTATCTCGCTCTCCCGAGGTCTTTGTTAGTCCCTTTTGGGAGACCCGAAACACATGTGCGGGTTCAGAGGTCTCTCGACCCACCACTGAGATTACCCAGGGATTTCTCAGAAAATTTCGGTATTGTGGCTGCTTCATTGACAAATGCACAATTCTTCTCTCGCATCGAACAGTTAGCTGAGAATTTTATTCCAAGTACAGTCAAAATTATCTGGATGATAAACTCATTTCCCGGGGCAGAAGAGTACAGGAAGTCGTTGACGATAAACCGTTTGCCTCGATATTCCAACATCTTATCGGGATTTTTTCCTCTCCGATAAGCAATCATTTCAACAGAAACAAATCTAACTTCTATTCTCAAAAATTCATCCATTTAAATCCCCGAATTTTATAAAAATTACTGCTCTAATAAAAAATTTCGAATGAAAAATAGACTTAGGAATTAATAAATAGAGTACTGTACCTGTCCTAAATTAATCGTCAAATTAACTTCATTGTATTTCATTCCTCGTGATAAGGGTGGGGATTGCCACCAGGTCTCCATTCCATCGACGGCATGCTCCGGTGGATGGCTTTTCTCTGGAACCGATGGATCGCAGAAGTCGCAGACCTGGAGGAGAAAACATTGAAACTATTAAGTTCCCCGAGAATTCGTTGAATTATTTTTAGCCCAACGTCGCCATGGGGTAGACGAAAAGCCTGAATCGAGGCGTTTGGTACATCCCGTGATGATAAACCGCTTAAAAATAATCAAGAGTTCATTTTTTATCGGATCAACGCCTCGGGTTTTGGCCCCATATTTCCAAATTTATATAAAAAATTTTAATAATTACACCACTTAAACGTTCAATCATCTCCACGAATTTTTATTCATCGGGTAAATGAAATTTTATCGAGATTTTTCATTTGAAAAATTCGTAGTTATCAATCGAAATAATTTCGAATCATCAGAGTGTTCTGATATCATGAAGATAAATAATTGACAATAGTTCAGATTCAGAATGGCCCAGAGGACGGGGAATGTCCATGGCTTCATGCTTAGGACAGGTTTTGCGAGTGGAGACTTTTTTTTTCTGTAAAAAAACGACGGGACCGGCGGGTCCTTTGATCCCCCAGCGGTTAATCCTCACGTACATCCTAATATTTCGAACAAGGTCTTGCATATAATAATAATTAACACATTTCCGTCGACCCCAGAAATCCACGGCGATCTTCCCTTCTAGTTCGTCAGCTCAACTTAAATTCAATCATGCAGTGCAAATGATCCTAAACTCTGAAGAATCTTATTTTTTTATTAAAAAATCGTGCGATGGGAAAAGAATAAATCTCATAAGGAATTTTGTCAATCTCGCTACCGCAATTTGATGAAATAAAATCAAAATCCCCCAATTGACAAATTTCCATGAATTTTCAAGAAAACGAAAATATAAAGCTATTTTCCCCACAATTCTATCAATTTTTTTAAATTTTCATTTAATAATTAAATGATCGCTTTTTGCATTGAAACTCAAAATAAAAATAAAAACTCAAATAATGGAAAATTAAATGAAACTCAAAATAAAAATAAAAACTCAACATAAAATTTCATTAAAACTTCAAAAAACTTCAAAAAAACTGCTCTATTTTTTCTGTAAATAATTATTAGTCACTAGTTCTTATGATTTTTTAATCGATTGCCCATTGAATAATTATTTTAAATTGTACGTACCTGTCCTTGAATGAGATTGATATCCTCATGCTGATCGGAATTGGCCCCGACGAGTTTGCAGTAGAGTTCAGCTCCGGGTGTGTCAACACCGCAGGTAGCCGAGGCGATGATTTCCTTGCCCTCGGCTAAATTAAAATAAGGTGGGGTGAGAATTTCAGCGCGGATACCACCCACCGAGAGGAGGAGCAGGGGTGCAAAACCCCACCACCCCATTCCGACAATTTATAAACAATCCACGTTAACGAATGATGAGATATTTTCAGAGTCCCGAGGGAACAATTGTTCGGTAATAGTCCAGTGAAACCGGATCGGCTTCTGGGGGAGAACTGAGAGGATGGACCAGAGGCTATCGCTAGGGAGTCTTCGGAGGCTCAGCTAGAGTGAGAAAACCACGACAGAGATGCAGCACCATTTATCTACACCGAGAAAAAAAAATACTTCCACCAAATAAATTGACTACTAAAGTTAATTCTTATTCTACTAAATCCGTTTATTTTATTTCGAATTTATCTATTTCAGAAAAAAAAAACTGTTTTGCTAAATAAATTTAACTCTGCCAATAAATTTATTGAGAGAAAAAAAATTAATTTAATTTAATTTTTCAAGAGATCAATTTTAATTGCAAAATTGATTGAGAACCTGAGGAATGAATAATTATGTAGGCGAGAATTAATTGTTAATATTTGGCATGAATATTTAGAGAGAAGAAATTGCGACAATTGGATTTTTAAAACTTTTCGTTGCATCAGGATTTTTTCAAAAGTGATTATTAGAATTAATAAATTAAAATAAAATTCATTAGCCTTGTTAATTTTGTATTTGATGAAAGAGCAATTTTCCGTTTGTTTTATTGATATGTTAAATAAAATTATTGCAATATTTTTCTGAGTGGAGGAAAATCTCGAGTCTCAGGTTTTTTCTGAGTCTTGAATTCTCATGCGCGCGTTTTCATTTCAAACTTCACCCTCGCAGTTGCTGTTCACCCGTTCATCCCTTCGGTCGTCTCCACTACCTTTGACATTAACAAATTCAATTTTTTAAATAAACACCGGAAAATCTGATATTTGTCAGTGCAGTGATGAAATTTTTCGGGTCGTTCTGTCATTCTATCATTAAATTCCGGTAATTTACAATAAAAAAAATAAATCTCGGTAATTACGTGAAGCATATCAAAACTAAACATATAAAGAATAAATTTTTGTTGTAAAATTTTATTAATATATAACAATACGATTGTACGCTGTATTTTTGCCAATTGGTTGTGGAAAAATTATTTTCAATTGCAATTGTGAAACAGAATTCACAGGCATGTGATTGAATAATTAAGGGGAAAATAAAATGACGTCTAATTAGCAGTGGGCACAAAAATGGCGAGATTTATCGCGACAATTAAAGCAATAATAACTCGTCTGGTTTTTGCGTCACACGGGTTCATCGCAATTTGGCAAGTGGCAACTTTCAAGAAAAATCCTCTGTACTGGTACCTGAGCTGTCCAATTCTGGTGCTTTTCTTCGAGGGACTCTTTACCCTAACGATAAAGGAAAATCAAGAGTGGAAATGGTGAGGAAAATTTTATCACCGGCAATTCCCTCGCATATTTTGTGGAAACACCAGTAAAACCGGTTTCTGGGTCGCCTTTGTGACCTCTGGCACACGTGGAAGGGTGGAAAGTTTTTTTTTTTCTAGACTAGATTTGATTGGCAGTCGGAAATAGTGCATTAGAGGGATTCGGAGGTATCACGTCCGGTGAAATTCGAAACTCATCGAAATTTTTTCGATTCATTAGGTGATGGTTGTGCGGGATCATTTGGGGAAATGAAATCGAGAAAATCGAGGGAAAAATCCAAAAGTATCGATCTGTCAAATTAATATAATTTATAGAAAGAACAATTCATGCAGGTCATCTTGACCCAGAAAAATAAAATCTTAATGCCAATATTAGAATGATAATAATTATTATAGATATATTTTTACTTAATTAATACTATATATATAAATGATTAATAATAACAATTTGTTGAATATTAAATTTACCTGAAACACTTGAATTAGTATATATTTAATATTATAAATCTGGTTAATCATACAAATAATATTCTTGCGATAGTAATGAATAATTGTGTACGCAAGGAAATTTTCCTTTTGTGGTAAACGCCACAATATTAATGTGAAATTTCTCTCACCGAAAATCCTAATTTCCTCCCCATTTTTCTCGCAGGTTTTGTCCTTCAGTATTTCTCTACCTGGGAAGTGTAGTCCCTGCAATTTGGCTCCTGGAACTGGACAAATTGGAGCGAATAATGAAACCCTCACCCTCGCAGATGAATATCTCAAAGACCCTGGACTTATCCCACCTAGCAGCAAAGGATCTCGAGCAGTTGGAGCAATTGTTCGGGGTAAAAATGTCGCCTCGATAATAATTTGAAGGCATTCAAAGGATTCCAGACAATTTGCAAGATCCTCCCAATTTATTTCCCAGGTGAAAATGCAACTCCCTGAGATCCAGATATCCACAGAGACGTGGGTCACCCTGATAGAGCAGTTCCTGATGTTAGTTCTGATTGTGGGTCGATGGATGCTGCCAAAAGGTGATCTGACTCGAGACCAACTGAGTCAATTGCTCCTCGTTTACATTGGAACTGCTGCGGACATCATCGAGTTCTTCGACTCTTTCAAGGAGCCCAGTATTTCCTCCGAGTTCATGCTGGTGTACCTCACCCTGGGCATCTGGTCCTGGTCTCTCATTCAATTTACTGTAGTACTGACTGCCACTAAATCCAGGAAATCGAGATTATCCACTGGGGCATCTGTCAGGATGAAAGTCCAAACTGAAACTAGTTGCTGCAGCATCGATGTCTGGGCAATTGCTCTCAATATGATCCTTCAGGTACGCATAATTAACAAATTAACGATTAGTCGATTAAAGGATTTTATTTGAAAAAACTAAATCATTGAAATTAATCTAGTCCAGAAAATAAGTAAAGATGTAAATTATTCTGCAGGACGCACCGTTCCTCGCGTTTCGCCTGCTGATTATAATTCACTTCAAGATCGTCAGCTACATGAACATCTTCTTCACGTGCAAGAACACTCTGGTGATTCTTCTGCAACTGTACAGACTTTACGTCGTCCAGACGGAAAAAAAGACACGAAACAGAAAGAGAAGAAGGAGAATAGACCGTGAGGAACTGCCGAGTATCAGTATTGTCTCCAGGGAAGACATTTATGGGTGCGAGGAGTGCCGGGGAGGAAGACGACGACGAAGGGAACTCGAAATTCCTTCAGAGACTGAGTATTCTTCGGAGGAATTGAATCGATATGAATTGACACCGAAAAACTTGGACAGGTGCAAAAGGTATCTGTCAATGATTTAAATATTATTCTGCACAACTATTTTAACATTCAGATAAAATTTGATAAATATTAAAGAGATAATCTATTTGACAGAAAATCGAAAAATGACACCGGATACTCCACCTCCAGCTCCAGGAACTCCTCGAAACACGAGAAATATCGAAAAAAAGAGGTGAACAGGAGTTCTTCGACGCGAAGGGCTGAATTCAGTAAAAATGAAGTAACTTACGAGGATGAGAGACAATCGAAGATGGACAGGAACTCCAGGAAGTGCCCCAAGAGTTCTAATCCCGGTAAGTCGACGATTAAATCAAAGTCCGAAGGAAAAAAACGAAAGGAGCGAGAAAAATCGGAATCCATTGAGGAAAATCGAAGCTCTAATTCTGTCGAGGGAGATAAAACTGAGAGTGACAGCACAGGAACTGAGTCTGAGTCTGAGCAAAGGTGAGCATGTATTAAATAAATATATTTTTAATAAAATGAGATTTTTTAGAGACTAAAGGAGGTCTTCTCTTCTAGATATCAGCGTCGCAAGCGACGCAGCAGGGAATGACATCGAAAAGTTGGTGTTTTCATCCTATCAATAATTTACTCAGTTATTTTAGCAGTATGTATTCTTTATATATACGCAGGGATCAACGGAGGAATCATTCTAGCATCGATGAATAATCCAGAAGCTGAAATTTGAATATTGTTTTTGAATCATTATTTATTTACCCATCACGAATTGAACAATCAAACAAATTTATGAACTGATGAGAACTGGTGAGATTTTTTTTTGAGTAATTGAGGAGAACTTTTGAACTGCTCCTTTAAACTCTTGAATTATTTGTACGTCTATTTTAATTCTGTTATTCCTCAATTATGGAATGCTTTGCCATTTTTATTGAGTGTAATTAGTACTCTGTACCCATTGAATTTCGGCACTCTTTGAAATTTAAACTATCGACGTAATTGATAAGATCGTCTTGATGTACCCCCATCGATGTGCAATACAAAACAGCAGTATCTGCTATTAATTCCTTGAGACTCTTCTCTTTTTCCTTCGTCTCTTTTTCCCAGTCAATTTTTTTCTCCTCAATTTTCACACTCATCTGTGCTTTATTCTCTGGAGATTTTGGTATTTGGATCCTCTGGGACGTCTCTGATTGGGGAGGGAAAACACTGGAATCCTTTTTTAGATTGGGATCTGAAGTTTTCAGGAGGATCAGAGTATTTTTCTTCCCTCGTCCCAGAACTTCCTGGAGTTTCGCATGATTTTTTATGCACATGAGATTCAACTGGGGCTTTGGTGGTTTCGGTTTTACCTCTGGTGCAGAGGAAGCCTGAGGGATCTCTGGAGTTTTCTCCTCGGGCGAGGGCTTTTTACTCTCGGATTTTATCGAGATCGTAGGGGGCTTGGAGCTCGCGATTTTTTCTTCGATTTTCTGGTACTCCGGGGTCATTATTCCCGCTGCGTAGGACAGGACTGAGTGGAATGTCAGGTGCATGCAGTCCTCAAAGGAGATGTCGAGTTTTCCGTCGATTTTAAGGAGATCTGGGATTTTTCGTTTGCCACTGGGAGGTGGAGGGATTTCAAGGTCTGGATTATTTGGGATCTCTTGGTACGATTTGCCGTCAAAACTCGTGAAGCAGCGGCCGATGATCTCTGTTGCTGGACCGACCTGGAGACGAACAAGTCCTGCATTTCTCTTTCGTTATAGCATAATTATTTTTGTTAAGGAATTACCTGAGGATGATAAATAGGTCTCTCGTGCATTCCGTGGGTTGGCCACTCCTTCCATTCGAAATCCTCTTGGATATTTGGCACCTGGAGAGTTGCTCCGACGTTGTAAAGTCTTTTGGTCACCGACCTGGTGTTCATGTAAGGCACGTCCGACAATTTCAATCTCTTCTCCGGGGAATTTCCATCGCACCCTCGACGTTTTAGAGCCAAGAGCCTGGGACGTGGGTACTCCTCGTCGATTTTCTTTTTGGATAGGCGGGAAGGATTCCTTCGGACTTGGGAATTTCTGCATTCATAATTTATTAACAAAAAAATATATTATGCCTCCACGAAAAAATCACAACCATTCTCTAGTTGTCATCATCCATCAATTATTCGTAAGAAAGGTAAATCATTTTTTCTGTTATTTTTACACGTTGCATTTTTTTTTATTAATAAAAATAATTGTTTTGTCCATAATAAAAAAATTGATATGTTAGAATTATTTTTTCATTGACAATTGTTGATCGATGCACCAGATGATTATTTCAATGATTTTCTTTTAGTGATGATAAATAATTGAGGAATAATTGTTTAATAATATTCTTTTGGTTGCAATTTTTTACTTGTTCCTCTCAGGCTGAATGATACGTTTGGGCCCCTGTCCATTAATTTGTTGCGTGAGTCTCTTCCTCAAGGAGTGGATGGAATTCTCCATGGATTTCTGCAGAGTTTTATTATCCTGCTTGGCCAGTACAGTTGCCTGGGGTAATTTGGGTACAAAAAAATTCTTTCCGGAAGTTTCAGTCATCCTGACGCAGTAATGAACATCTCCGCAAGAGTGCTCTGTCCCCCCGTCGACGTCGACGTTGAACCGACGGTGAAGCGCCATTTTTGCGGCTTTATCCCCCAGATCGATTAGTTTCGACTTCTCCGGGGATTCTCCAGAATTTTTAGGGGTTAAGACCGCAGCTGGAGGCTCTGTCAGGACAATGACCTTACGTTTTGGAAGGATCAGGACTTTGGGGGGATTTTTTATCCCTGAGTCCTCCATTTTCGACTTCAGTGGATCTTACGGGTTTCGATGTTTTGATCACTTTTTGTTATCTTACAACAGATTCTTTTTTGTTTCAATAATTCAATGGAATTCCCGGAGTTCGGCTTCCAGAGAAGTTTGAAAATCAACGGACAAGAGGTAGAATTCATTTTTACGTACGACTCCTAACGATTTTCGTCTAGGAGTTGGTTTTACATAATTAGCAAACTTGAAACATTAAGAATCACAAAAAATATATTGTTCAGGCTATTATTCTTTCCTTCACTCGTTTATGGGTAAAAAAAACCTAGGGCAACTGGTAATTCCATAATTATTCAAGTAATTGCATTGATTCTGGTAAAGAAATTATTTAGTGTTTGGCTATATGATTGATTATCACAGAATTCTTTTAAAAATCCGTTGTTTATTCAAATATTACCAAATAAAATTCTACTTACACTAATTCCTAGAAATCCAATAGTACAGGTACCACGAAAATACGAAATTTTTATCGTTCGTATTGCACGTTTGACTAGATTAAATAACTAATAGTTGCTCTGGGTACATTGAAAATTTGGTACTTAGTTCCTGAACAGATATTTACAACACAAATTAATGAAAAATTCTTCTGGGTTAATTCAAATTGTCTGCGGTGAGAGTCAGAGTTGTGAGACTCGATCTTCGATTCGGATTCACTCCGAGATTTTCCCAATTTATCCACGCAAGACGCGCCATTAGATCTGCAATTACAATTAAACTAATTAACAATCGGCAAAACTGGAAAGTCCAGCACTTAGTTAATTTCTTTCAATAGATAAATTTTCCGGAACGAATGAGTCAATTATGGAATTTAAATTCGCTTTCCTCGATTGGATTAATATATATTTTTTTTAATTTTTATTATTAAAAATTTGCAGACCGATTAGTTGGAGGACACAAACTTATAAATTATTTAAAAAATCATGAAGGACATAAATGCATTCGTTAATCGATTCATTAATTGTGAAAAAGGAAAAAGATGGAAAATGTTTAATTGCTAATGAATTAATTTGTCAATTACCACTTGTATTCCACTCAGCCCTCTCACTACTCATTTCACCTCTGAGACACATCTCGATGTACGTCAGGGGATCGACGTTTTTAACTTTGAGAACTTCAGTGAGAAGTGCGATGTACGCAATTGCGAGTCGAAGTGTATCAATTTTGGATAGTCGTTTTTCGTACGGAAATGTCGGCACGTGGCCCCTAAGCGCGTCGAAAGCCGAGTTTATGCTGCTAAAAATTTCAATCCCACTTAGAATCCAAGATAACTTATCAAAATTACATCAGGATATTGCAATTAGTTATTATAATTAGTTATCTTACCTAAGCATTCGTCGACGCTCACGAATATTTGCCGCGTGCCTCTGGATTCTGTAGGGACTTCCGTTGGGGTAATATCCCTCGTCCACACCGTTCATCTCATTATCATTATGATCTGATTACAGAAAATTAATAAAAATTACAATTAATTATATAAATTTTCAAATTCCTGGAACGATTGAAATAAATTCTTCGATAAAATATAACTTGGGGATGCGATTTTGGGGAAATCAAAGAATTTTTTATACAATTTCATTATGATAATATCGAGTGGGTTAATATGGATTTGATAATTGAGAAGAGAGTAATTAACGATTATTTACGCACTTCGGTTTAGCCTTTGCGTTTAATTTCATAAATTTTGAATAATTATTATATGATATTTAAGTTGCGATATACGCTAGTGGCAATATATTGTAGTTATTACACAAGTTGTTGATTTTTCGGTGCAATAATGAATTGCAATAATAATTAGTCATTTAACTCGTGAATTCGAATAAGTTTCTCTTTTTATTATTGAAATTGTTTGTAATCGAAAGTGAAAGTGATGTGAATTTTCAATTGTACGAATTAGCATTAGATTTAAATTGAATGTTCAATATATTGAAAATTCGAATTCTCAATTTTATGAATCATTTCCTAGAAATTTGTAGAAAGAAAATTGAAAAAATAAGATATCGCCAAGAATTCTTTGAATTTCCCAATTGAAATGAATTTGAAATTTTAATGGTAATTGTCCAATAGCGTAATTATAATTACCTGGTGTTGAAATTGGCATGTGATAATGTAATGGCGAGTGCGTATGCGGTGAAGAGTGAGTGTTAACATGTTGCGAAGATCTCCCAGCATAAACGCACGACGGCAAATCCGCGAGATCCTCTTCCCCAAGATCACCGCTTCCGACGTAATACTGAGAACTAAAAAAAAATAACAACAAAAACAATTACCACAAATTCACAGTGTTAATAATTCCCAAAGGAAATTACCTCGTGCAAATATTATCAGCCTTGGAAGGCCCTCCCCGGTGCCTCCCATTCATTCTCTGTGCCCTCTCCTCAAAATTGTACCCCAAATGCGATGCCATTTTCCCCCGAATTTAAATAAATCACAAATTAATTTGAAAAAATCACAGATAATCAATTGCCCATCACGAATTTTTCGGAGTCATAAACAAAAAATCATCACATCAGAGTCAAAGTCCAGAGTTATCACCCCTTCGGTAATTATTGCTAATTAGAATTTTTGGTTGATTAATTGGGGATGGTGTTGATGATTGAAATTTTACAGCTGATACGAGCAATCACAAACATTCAATGGCAAACTGTCAGAGTTCCCTGGAGATTTGGTCTTTATATACTCCCCTGACTTGATGATGGGGTAGTTGAATCGATACCAACCCCTGGGCGGAGCAACATCAGCCAATGGTGACGCTGGAAACTGAAAATTATTATCATCCCCTGCTCTCATTGGTCGGTTATTTAATAGCGCAATTTATTTTCGTTGAAACAATCACACACACAGGCTTAACCACTGGTGGTTTATCGTGGCTGCACTTGAACGAAGTCATTTTATTTACTGAGGTGTGTTTAAATGGGTTATAGAAGGGGATGAAAGGGGGTGCCTGGGAGCCATCGCTATTTTATGCCTCGGGAGGAAGGGAATCGTTTCAATTTCTCCGAGCTATTCCACTCAAATTGCTTTATATTATTCACTCGGGTGAAAATTATTCCAACTATTTTTTTTTATCAACGCTTTTATCGGGGTGGGGGTAGATCGAACTCGTGGTGATTAATTTATTGGGGATCGAGGTGAGAAGTGGAGATTTGGTTTTTTTTTTCGTCTGCTGATTCTTTCCTTTTTGTTCGGCCGGATATTTCCATTGATTTCGTTATTTTGGCTGTTCGGGTTTGGCGTTTGTTCATTTTGTTCTTGATTTTTCGGGACAAAGGGCAGAAATTGAAGATTCAATAAAACAGTAATAATGTAATACTACAGTTTTTGGGCTTTCCGGGAATAATTAATTTGTGAAAAACGTGAATTTATTGTAATCATGATTGACAGAAAATTGAAATCCATTTGTTTAATTAAAAATCAGGGATTCCTTTAAAATATTAACAAAAATATTAAAAGTATTAATTAATTAATCTCCAATTTTCTCCCGATTTGTATCTACGACAGAATCGAAAATTAGATTTAAAATTAATCATCAGTTCTCACGCAAACATTTATTTTCAAAACCAAAACGCATGAATTAATGTAATAAAAAAAATGTTTAAACACTGATGGGACAACTGGGGTCTCATTGAAACGATTGCATCGCAAACCGACAGCCTGAGAAATTGACCGGATCAAATATTAGCCTCATTCCAATTCAACAATGTACGGGTGGAATATTCAAATGAGATAGTGGTTTTGAATCGTACCGCAGTTCTGCACAATTATGCGAGGTGTTAATACGATGACAATAAGTTTTCATACACGGGGTGGTAAAGAGGGTAGGGGATTGTTTTGTATTGTACGACAGGCGCCGGGTACTACAAGTTTGCGAAACCATCCGGTACTTTCGCTAAGATCCACAACTATTGTTATGTTTTATTGGATTAAACTTTTCCAATTTACTTCACAAAAAAACCATAAATAGACACTTAGAAAAATTACATTCCAATTACGCCATTCTATATTTTTAACTCAATGTTTCCGAATTTTTCTTCATTCTTTTTTTTCTTCAAAATACTAATACCGATATAAATATAAATAATAATTATAATCATAAATTATTATTATTATTATTATTACTACACCAAAGGAAATAAGAATTGTAGATGAAATGTCTAATATTGATTTTTTTTTATCGTGAGAATGCTAATTGTTAAACAACAAATAAGAGGATGGAGCAATGAAAGGGGATGAGATAAAATGATAACGATCATCTGTCATTGATATTGCGAAGTAAATTCTCAAGTGGAATTTTCAAGTATGCGAACCATTCTGCCCTGAAGTACTCAGTATTGTATCCGACATAAACGATTATTTATCTCAATTTGTCACGTTTTGAGGGGGAGAGAAACTAGCGGTGGGAAATGTTTCGGTTTCGTTTGCGGTTCATCTCCAATTCTCGTTTTATCCATTGACCCAGATAACTGGATAGACCAGTCATTTCTTACCACAAAAATTCAATGATTAATTATCAATACGTCGACTCGATACTCTATTTATTTAAAAAATAATTACATTTTTTTGCATGATAGATGGAAAATTGAATTTCCATCTTCTGTACTCCCTTGAGGCTTTCCCAGCGCTTTTTGTTTAAAATAATTATTAATTCTGTTTAAATTAACTAGATTAACGGTTCATATTTGAATTCAATTATTATTTTCTGCTAGTGCAATAAGAATTTATTCAAAGGCAATGACTTTTTTGGGGATTATTGCGGAATAATAAGTAATGATGAGAAATTATAAAAAATGGTCAATTGTTTGTAAATAAAAAAACGTCAGGGTGAATTGAGGATAAATGTTCGATGGTTGTGATGGGATTTGCTAAATACCTGAGCAGATAAAATCCCTTTTTTTCCCTCAATTATGAACAATTGATTTAAACACACTCCATTTACTGTGGCAACACGCGTCGTCGTTGTGTCCATCCCTGAAATTAGCCACATGACACAGCCAGTTACCCCCAACCCCTGTAACAACTCAAAGAGTCCTTTTCAACCCCTGGATGGTGCCCTGGGAAAATCAACTGACGCAGAACTAACTGGTCTATCATTAATTCCAGCGTGTATGTTTATATCGACATGGTTATGGGGATAATTCATGTCGTTATGGTACAGCCAATTTTCAAGGTAAATTATGCTGTTGACAAATTGATGAAAGAGATTTGATACTAAATATCTTGCACTCATTTCAAGGGAATCAATACCATTCTATCGTGAGAAGAAAAATTTTCGATCATTTCCTCAAATAAATTTGAATTTTTAATAATTATTATAAATTATATTAGTATTTAATTAGTGGAGTGCATCGACAATGTGATTGATCATTGCAATAATTTGTTTGTTTATTTCTAATTTATTAATTATTGAGAGGAAAATTATTATGTTTTGAATTTTATGAAAAAAATTGAACCGCTTTTTTATTTATTTCCGGGGAAATTAAGGAAAATTTGTGGAAATGAGGAAATGAGTGAATTGTTTTTTGGAGGGAATTTTATATTGTAAAAAATGGCAAATAGGATGAAGTACTGGGGGTTACCACCAAACCTATTTGGTACACGTGTCGCAGGGGTGTTGAATCGAGAATCCGCCCAACTTTGCAACGAGTTTTCGACAATAAGACACGCGTTTTTCGGCACGTGAGTACAGAGGGTCATGGTACTTGTCACAAGTAAGTGCCAGAGAGCAAGAATAATTTTTTGGCAATGGATCGCAGTTTAGAACACTCCAGTGAACAAAATCGCTTGGAAGATTGACTGAATAATTATCGGGTAATTTTTCATCAATTTTGCGGATATCAGATGACAAAAAATTGTTATAAATAATTTACCTCAAATTTCCAATGGATTTGCCTCTCATTTTCAGTTGAATTATTGTTGAATTATTGTAAAAATTGATAATTTCTCTAAAAAAAAATTAAACCACAATTTACAAAAAATACAAAATAGTTAAAACAACTCAAATAAATTGTAGCAAATGAAATTGGATTTTTTGCAGAACTCTTCGCGTAGGTTTCTCGTCCCATCCGTGAAAATTCGCGGATGTTTGTTTTTCCCACAGATTAAAAAAGCCTCAAATCAAACAAAAACCGTGTACTTACGGTAAACCATGTCCAAGTACTTCAAGGTAACCATGAGCATATTTGACCAATAAATAATTTGGCAAACAAATTGATCCCCCAGGACTATAAACAGATACTTAACGGCACGCGTTGGTCTCGCGGTAGAATTTTTGTCCGGATGACTTATCAATCGGAGATGAAAATATTGGACAAATATTTTCCAACCATCAAGGGGGTGGACCCCTACTGTGAGAACCCGTCGGTGAGGGCCCGCGGCGTGAAATCTCTATTATGGGGTTCAATGGTTTATACCCCCTGCACCCTTGTTCCTGGTGATGACAGGGGGTATTTCTTGTGTTACTCAACTATCCGGCAGAAGAGAGTGTAATCGTGAATTAAGTGTTTACACAGAAATCTCAACCACTTCACCGAATCCGATTCACCTTCTCCATCGTTTCCATCGATTTCGCAATTAACCCGGGGAATTTTATTAAAAACACATCTTTTCAGGATAAAAAAAGGCAATGACACTTATCACTTTATGATTGATTACAAAAAAATTTTTATTAGGGACAAAATGCCGTGTTTGAACGATTCATTTTTTATTTAACAAATTCTGTGATTGTAAGGCTTGCGTAAAATAAATTACACTTAATAACGTGCATTTTTTGAAATATCAATTTCTCCGGACACCTATCGCACCAATTCACCCCTAAATTCAGGATCTACTTGTCATTGAGAATCGGATACCACCCGCGTGCCCATAATATTGCCATTATCCTAAAATTGACATTAACGCAGTGAACTACCTCAGTAAATAGACAGGAATATACCCATCCATCGATTGTAACTGTCAGAAACTCCAGGACAATTGACGCATTTAAATGCCCTAAACCTTCCCAATAATGCAGTATCCATTAATTAATCAATAATACGACCTTTCCCCCAAACAATTCCAATCACCTGACATTTTCTCCCAAAAAATACGAAGAAATGCTCTCCTCAGAAGAATCACCTGCGAGACGTGCTGGACCCTTTGGAGAGGACATCCGGGGTTTGAATTAATCAATTAATAAGGATACGCGTGAAACAATTCGCATGGACTGATATATTCCGAGAAAATATCCAGAATAGTCCTCTTGAAGTCTTTATGGGTGGAGTGTGCTTGTGACATGAATTATTAGCCCTCGGGAGGGTGAACTCAAACCATCGCCAGAGGGTTGCGCGGGCGTGGCTTCAGCACTGGGGTAAACGGGGGTGGTAACAGGCGTGGCAATGCATTTCCCCATGAGCTCTGTTAACTAAAATATTATTTTCATTGTTAAATAAATAAACTCCGGCGTTCTCTCCCCCTCTCCCGAAAAAAGCCCGCGCGAAAAACGCAATTCCTGCGGAAAAAAAAAACCAAATAATTAATATCCATTTCAATACATCAATTATGCACTGATTAATTAATAGAAATATTTAATGTTGTTTATTTATATTATTGCTTTTTATCGGTGTATATCATAGGGATGATGCCCACAAATTTTGTTTTATTTTTAGTGATTGATGGGAATCAATGGAATATTGACCGCGGATTGTCGCGGGACTCGGGATGGAACTCGATAAGAGATTGAATAGGAATTTTTCCTTTCAACACATGATTTCAATTTTGGAATCACAAAGGAAAGAGACAGATTCGAGTGACGGGTTGGTCCGACCATCCGAAATGGACGAGTGGAATGGTGTCGGTATATAAGGCAACGAGCAGCTAGAGTCTGCATCTGACAGCCCATTACCACTGTACAAACGGGTGAGCCAAGGACAGAGGGAAAAAATACCTTTTTTCATGTTTCAAAATAAAAATTGCAGCAAAAACTACTGACTAACTTCATATATCAATCGAATTCTTTTATAATTGATAAACGTTCCTCTCATTATTTTATTATGTATTTTATTATGTTGGACGATGTAAAGGATTCGCCAATATATATAGATGTATATGTGTTATGAATTAAAGTATTAGAAAAGGATAATTTCGATTTAGATTGCGCTCATGGAAATTTGAAATAATTCTCGCTCGGAGTAATTATTATGGATTCAGTAATTATTCAATTGATATGCAATAAATTACGACTTGAAGGTATGAGAGTTGAATTTATTTGGCATTTGACAGCATGCGGAAGTTGTAAAGTTGTCAGGAAATTTTAATCCGTCTAGTGAGAAGTTTTTGATGTCGAATGGGAAATATAAATATTTCGAGGAGAGTTACGGCTGCGTCGTGGCATTTTTGGGGGAATTCTGTGGCTTTTGGCATTTTTAGACCCCCGAAATTGAGGAAAGAAAAGAAAATGGAGATCTGCCCTCTCCACCCGCATCTTCTCCCTCTCTTCCCTCTATTCCTGATGTGATCAATACTCTGAGATCAATACTGGAGGATGGGGTTACTGTTCATACTCCAGGAATGAAAGGTGATGTCAGATAAGTTTTTATTTCATTGCTACAATTTTTGCGATTTTTTTTAACGTCAAGTCCATGTCAGTCGTCTATTTGAAAGTTCGAGATTTTCAATGCTTTACATTCAAGATTAAAATCCTGAAAATTGGGAATTAAAATTAAATTAGTGCTATTGAAAAACTATCATTTCCCTCTTTTTTACAAATATTTCCTCTAATTATTTCATTAACATTCATTTAAATCCCGGAACTATCGACTTGTTTCCTTTAAAAAAAATCTTTCTACAAAAATTACAATACAAGACTTATTATCTATTATTATTTACAATGAATAATCATTATCATATTGTGTAAATATTCATAAAAAACAATAGAAAGAAATAATGGAATAGACAATTCAAAAGAAGTTGTATTAAATTTGAAAAAAGTTATTTTACAACTCAATCGTTAAAAAATCTTAATGAATCCATTTTTCAACAAAAAATTTTAATTATTGAAGTTATTACCAGGAATTGTTTAATTTCAAATTGAATTAGATTAACAGGATAAATAACCCGTAGTAGATAAAATAATTCTCTTTTCACCGACTTTTTCTCTGGAACTGGCGCCCCAGCGCTTTTGTATTCATCATGGCGTCCGGGGGTTAGTGATCAATTGAAATAACCCAAATATTCATTCTTCCAAATCAACATTACCAAAAAACCTGGCAAACATACGTGAGACCCCAATAACTTCTCTAAAGTTATTCGAAAGTCCTGAGACATTGAGAAAATAAATATCGCTTTATTCTTCTCCATCGTGGGCCCACGTTTGACAGTTCAAGTGCAGCCCCTTTTTCACATTCAAGGCCTGAGAAATGAATTCTTGTGAAGAACCTGAGAGTCCAGTGTGTGATACCCTGGATCTCAGTGGTCATGGGCTGAAGAAATTGAGTCGTTGTCCCTCCGACGCAGACATCAGCACTCTGATTGTTGATGACAATGAACTCCAGCGTCTTGACAATCTCGACAGTTATCACAGAATCATCAAGGTATTTTTATTCATATTAATTACTTAATCACCAATTGGCACGACAATTACAACTTGATGAATGTCGTAATTATTTAGAAGAATACGTGGAATCCAGCAGAATTAGCAAAACATTAAGATTGATTTGTCGTTGCAGTTGTCAATAGTGAGGAATCAATTATTGCGGATGTATGGTGTCTCCAAGTTGCATAATCTGGTGACTCTGAATCTCGCTAATAATGGGATATTGACGATAGAAGGCATCAAGGATATGCCAAATTTAACTACCCTCTGTCTGGCTGGAAATAATGTCAAGGTAATAATTCTAATTCATGTCTCGGGGATTGAATCTCTCAAATATTGTTTGGGTTTCAGTCTATCGAGCATCTTCACACCAACACGAAACTAGAGCACCTGGACCTCTCTGAGAACAGCATAAGTCACGTCTCTGATATTTCCTATTTGAGGAACTTGAAGGTATTTTTTCTCTATTTCCCACTTCAGACTGCAGAGATTAATTAAAAAAAATCTACTCCATTGCTATTCCTTGGAAATTGTTTCAGGAATTATTTTTACACAACAATCGAATAATAACTCTCCGCCAGTGCGAGAGGTATCTCCCCACGTCCCTGGAGACCCTGACCCTCGCCAACAACAACATCACAGACCTCAACGAGATGTCTCACCTTGGAAGTCTGACAAATCTCATAAACTTCTCGATAGCCAACAATCCCTGCGTCAGTGCCACTGGCAACAGTATGTATCCTTTTTTGCCCACGAGTTTTTCTTTAAAAAATTCTAATAAATTATGATTAGAGCAGGACTTTAGTCCACTAGGCCAGGCAATACTGCTGACTAGTACTCAGAACACTGAATCATTCAACACAATCAATATCACTCTAGTCCTCACAATAGATCAGAAATTGAAATAATAGAATAGTTTAATTCTTAACAACTAGCACGTAGTGGATTCGACTACCGACCGTTCGTTATTAATTGGTGTATGAGTCTCAAATCGATCGATGGGTATCCAGTTGATCCAATTGAAAGGTAAGTCCTGGATGACGATGGGAGAATTGTCTGAGGTTGAAGAATAAATCAGTGGTGAAGTCAATTCAATAGGAGAAATTTATAATCAATAGCCAAAAAACCTAGCAAAAATAATTATAAACACAGTTATTCTCTGTCTTACTAACCGATTGACTAATTAACTAATCACCAACGATTGAGTTTTATTAAAATTCTTGATCTCGTGAATTCTCCTCTGAGGGAAGGAATTAACTCAGAATTTCGATAATCTTTACTTTTAAAAAATGGAAAAAATCCTCAGCCTCAAGGCAGAGTGGCTGTACTCCCAGGGACGAGGTAGACAATTCCGAGTGGGTGAACATTCCCAATTGGCCCAGTATCTGGCCTCTGTGTGTCCCTTATCAGGTGAATGTCTTGAGAACGAGACCGACAGAAAATTGAGATTGATTCTCAGTAAAGCTCAGCATCACCAGCAGCAGTTGAGCCAGCAGGGGGACACTGGTAATGTTCACGGTATGAGCTCCTCACCAGCTGCTAGAAGAAGACTGGGAGGTAATCGCACCAGCTCCCCTCGCCGTCCAAGTAAGTTCAAGAAAAACAAAATTCAATTGATCACTTCACCATAAAAATAATTCTTGAAGAAGTGATTGAACCTCCACTCTTTCGGAGTCAAATCTGTTTCCTCGTTCGTCTAATAACTCTTTCTGTGCATAAAATTATAAATTTTCTCCAGTTTTCCCTTTGTGGTCATTTCAAGAAGATAAATACTATACACCAAAATTAAACGAGAAAAAATACTGCTCCTGTCCGTCACCTTCTAAAGGTACCACCAACCAAGAGAAAAAAAGCGTTGAATTTATCGTTGTGATCAATCAATATTTCCTTTGTATTTATTTACATGCTCTATTAATTATGAATTTCATTAATTACTCATTATTCGCATATGAGAGAATTAATTCGCCGAAATAGCGTAGCAGTATAAATCCTGCTTTCTTCGGCTTCTAGACACTCAAATAATTGATTGTAATAATTCAACAGTTAGAGAGTTAATCATTAATATTTTGTATCAGAGTTGAGTAGATTAGTACTGTTATATTACTGTTATCATCAGCTGGAATTTTTACATATTTTTATTTGCACGCTTTCATTGCGTTATAACGAATTCCAATGTCTTCCATGCACAATTACACTGATACCGAGTTTAGCATCAATATTCAAGGCTGAATTAGCTTCAATCCAATTAGGTGTTACGAGAACTTCCATGAGGATGAGGTCACCCGACAGAATGGTTGCCAGTTGTCACAACGAGGCGATGGTGTCCTCTTGTCATGGGGGCCTAGAGAGTCATGAGCCCCTCATGACCCAGAGTTTAGATCCCAACATGCTGTGTAATACTTTCAGCAGTAAACTTAAAGATTCAACTCTTCAGGATGTCGAGGGTGAGAATGTTTAATTCATAACATTTTCTACGAAACTATTATCGGAGGTGATTTTCCAGCGCATGTGATAATCACACATGTCATAACTTTCCCTTGCAGAAACATCGAGTCCCCTCCAAGCAGCTACGAAACTAGTACCCGTCCCTGAATCCCTGATGAGTCCTGATTTTCGGCCACCCTCAGGCCTCTCGCGAATCCTCCCAAAGACCCCCCCAAGTCGCCTGTCCTCTCCCATCCAGACGACCATTCCCTCGAAGCTCACAGATCCATCAAAGTCCCACCAGATAATAAACACCACCACTCCATCAAAATTCTCGAGCCTCATCCACAAATCCACCCCTTCCAACCCCCCAAAATCCAACATAGCAAAGCCAATTCACCCCACGTCCAACGGTAAATGTCCCCAATCAGTAAAAATCAACAACTACGTGCAATCCAAGACGATGACCCCCAGGAAGTCCCTGAAGAATTCTCCAAACCTTCCTAGGGCAAAGCCAAAGTCCCAGAACGACAAAACAATAAAGCAACAGGCGAATGGTTCCAAGAAGCCGAAGGAGGACGAGAATATTCCGTCTAGCGATGAAGACAGTGAGTTCTGTCAAGCGAAATTGGATGGGATTCGTCACAGGGCGATCCAGAGACGCCAGGAGGACACGAATAAATCCGAGGACCAGACGGAGAAGGCAGCTCTTTTGATCCAGAGGATCTGGCGAGGATACCACACGAGAAATCTCAATAAGAACGCAACCAATGTCTTGAAAACCATCGAGATGATGAGGACCAACAAGTACATTCAGAAACTCTCCAGTGACATGGAGGCAACAAGGACAGCTTTGGAGAGTGAACACAAGCTTCAATTACTGCAGATGCAGGCAATCAACGCTCTCTGGAAGAAAGTAGTGAGTCTGCAACCAGGTAGAGAGGAAGATTCAAATACGGATGTCGTGACAAATCTAGCTCAGACCTGCAATCTGCTGCACAGTCAAGTACAACAGCTGCAGGACTCGATGAGTGAAATCAAGAGGTGCATGTCTCATATGCAGCCTAGAGCTGGGGTGGACCAGGGGGTGGCAACTCAGACTGAAATTTCAGCGGTTCACACTCCAGCAGGGGAGGAGAATACTTTTCCGTATGGGAGGACTGTTCACAGGCCTCAGTCCTTGTCCATTCATCAAACCATTCATGAAGGGGCAGAGAGCAAGAGCTTTGCCACTAATTTAGTCGATTCTGTTCTGAAAAAAGTGTCACAGAGCACTGACACAACTGATGATGAAGTCAATACTGATATATTAAACTCCAGCAGCAATCCAGAGCTGGGGGAATTGGACAGGGGAAGGGAGGGTGGGCAGGCGGAGATGTTCAAGAGTTGTGAGGAGATGGAGGGATTCAGGGAGGATGGAGTCGAGGGATTTGAGGATGTCGTTGAGAGTGAGGAGGTGCTGTGCAAGGAACTCCAGGGGATGATTGAGAAAGAAGGGGATTGTGATATGGGGGAGGGCAGTGAGTCCGTATAATGGGCCCGTAGCTTTATTACTCATTGTGCTCACTGTATATAATGTGCAAGTGCTCGTCATGTACCAAAGATGATTTTTTTTCATTTGGTGAGAGGTAGAGAAAATAGAGAGATAATTTTGAAAAGAGATGAAAAGAACTTACGAGTAGTTTTCGAGGATTCAGTACTTTCGATTGTCGATTAATTTTCTCTACCACCATTCATTCAAATGTCTGCAAGCTGCCAGATACAAAGATTGATAAGGCTATCAGGTTTGATTAGAAGGTTTAATACAAAACTGAAACGAATTTCGTAGGACTTTAGACCGTACTCAATTGCTCAGTGAAAAATACAAAATACTCTTAACAAACCAAAACGTTTTTTCTCGACGAAAAATTCGAGTTGAAGCGACAGAAGAAAATAGACTACAAAAATTGAGAAGCTGATAATGACTAAGACATTCTTACAACCAAAAACACCAAATTCCAATTTTTCTCTTCAGTTCGGACTTTACCCTAGAACCCATTAGTACTGGAATAAAAATAAAAATTCTCGGTTTAGTTTGATTTCGTAACTTCGACTGAATTGTTTGTAATTTGAACGTTTAGTTCCAGTTTTTGATGTAGGTATAGTCAATTAATTTATATTCGACGTACGAATATAATTGCGTTATAGGACCCGTTATGTAGGTAAAAGTTTCTCGTTGGCATTAAGCCCCTGGTGATTTCGTCTGTAGACTATTAATGGCAGCAGAATGGCGCACAGATTGTTATTTTCATGCGCCACTTTGCTAATTCCTATTGAATAACTGAAGTTTAATATTGACTATTGACTATTTTACGTGTGAAATGGAATCAATAGTGGAGTGGGGAAGATTCGTCTGAATGAATTAAAGTTAAATTTGAAAATTTAACAGAAACTTTAAAAAGACTACAAAATAGCTTACCTTCTAATTTTTACTGGCGAAGGATTTGACGTTTTTCTCAAATCTATAAGGTTGAAAGAACGTCACAATCTGGATTCATCTATCCACCACTCTGCTATGAAAAATTATCTCCATCATTCCTCTCGATGTAGCATATGCTCAGTATTTCCTTAGTGTTCCATTCATTAATTTATTTATTTATGCTTAAATTTAAGATAAGACAGTGTGCGCTTAGGATGAATGAAATCCGAGAAATATAGTTACACTCTCGAGTGCTGAGGGAAAACACAAATTTTTGAATAAAAAGTGTTTCAAATTGAGAATTCCCATGATTTTTATTCATTTCATCAGTTTATTCGATCTTTCACATTTATTACTCACTTTGACCATTTTTGTAACATTAAATACATCGATTCTGGCAGTAATTGATATACTTGGCAGTTGATTGACTTCAGGAATGAGACAATTAATTCAGTGACTGAGTGGTGAATTATTCCAATAGCAAGTGATTTTAGAATAAAATGTTTGATTGTTTCCCCCAAAAAATCATGAGCTATCATCTGAGTTCATATTAATAAATATTAATTTATCTCTCAAACTATTTATAGTCCAGACGATAAAAAAAAATCTTTCATTCATTTCACCACTTCAAGCCACAAAATTACATATACAAAATCAGTAACAGGTAGGTATCTTATTTCTTGTAACATTATTTAAAATATATCTTCTGTAATCATTATGATTAACTGCCATTGACATTGGAGGAATTATTTGGTCAATTACCATTCGTTCTTGCATTTGTACTTGTACCATTTGATTATGAGAGCTTAAACATTCTTTTACAAGCGGTTTTCTCAACAATGAGGTATGACTTTATTGTCTTCTTGACTCTCTCTATCTCTCGAAGTATTTCACGATTATTTGGAGAGATGGTATCCGCAGCTTTGAGATCATCAAGGCTAAGCTCATACTCGTTAAGTCCCATGTATGATTGGCTTCGACGAAATAAAGCTTTGCTACTGTTTTTGTCGTTTGCTAAGACCTGAGAGTATTAAAAAAAATGAGAGAGAGGGCCGTGAAAATAATTATACTTGCGATACTACGAATTGAGAATTTTGACTCACATTGTTGCAAAGCTTCAGAGCTTCTCGATATCTGCCTAATTTTATTTCTACTGCTGACGCATTTAGCATTATTGAATTCCTGAGATTTTGGAGAGGTTCAAGGAGATCCTCTGGGGCTCTGTCTCTCTTCAAGAGCCAGTCGTAAAAACGTAATGATTTTTTGTATTTTTTTCCAGCTTTTGAATAATTTTTTTTATCGAAATAATAGTTCCCTGAGGATTTTATTTGCTCCACCACTTCCATTACGTATTTCGCCTGGAATGTATTACGTAATTGTCAAAGATGTCCATAATTACAAAATACATAGCAAGCGAAAATTTACATACGTCGATTTTTTCTTCATCCGTATTGAGCACATAATCCCAATCCTCTGGATAAGAAGTATAAATATCCAATGTCCCATCGTCTTCATAAATTCCCCAATTTTCTCCTCTTGTTAACTCTCCACAGTCGATGATTTCCACTTTCTGGACAGAGAGCAATTGGAATTCTTTGTCAAATTAAATATAAAATATTTGTTTTTTATATTGTGACAACTTCGTCTTAGCAAAAAGAAAAGTTTCTCAACGTGTGAAATATTTCAGAAGATAATTCGGTATGAAAAATATTTTTTACCTCGACAGGTTTATCTTTGATGATAAATACCCCTTCGTTCACCTCTTGGGCGATTCCCAGACCCCTAATGACCTTTCCAAAGACGACATTCGTGTTATCAAGGTGAGGACTGGGCTCAATTGTGATGATAAACTGTGAACTGTTGGTGTTTGGTTTTCCCTCGTTCACCATGCTAAGAAGGCCTTTCACAGAGTGCAATAACTCGAAACTCTCATCCTCGAAAGCTCCCCCGTAGATGCTTTCTCCACTTGTTCCATCGAAATTGACGATGTCACCCCCTTGGATCATGAATTGGGGAACAACTGCTCATGCAATACGGTGCAAAATGTTTAATTATCGACGAATCCCAATTTATTATATGAAGAAGATAATTTTTCTACTTTTATGGAAAATTGATCCCTTGTAGTGCAGTTTCTTTCCATGAATTCCAATTCCCTTTTCACCGGTGCAGAGGGCTCGGAAATTCTCAGCTGTTCGAGGAACTGTGTCTTTGAAAAGTTCAATGATAATTCGCCCAACTGCATATTTTGAAAATGAACACGAGTGAGTACTTAAAAAAAACTTAATCATGACCAATCATTTTACGCCGTGAGTACGATTAAATTAACTCTCTTTTCTGGATTAATTTATTTACCTTTTTCCCCATCAATTGCGACGTCAAGAAAAACGATGGGATTTTTTCCGGTGTCATTGTCATCATCAGGATCTTCCAGCGGTCGCTTCATGCCTCCAGTTCCTGCAATTTTCAGGTAAAAAATTCAAAATGGAAAAACCACCACACAAAATCCCAATAAAAAATCACTCAAAAAATTTTCCATCCACTTCATCTCTGTTTACGCAGAAAATCCGACATGACAGTTCATCCGATGCTCCCCGACGTCCCCCGAGATCTTCCGAAGTGGCTCCACTCCGGCCCCCGAATTCTCCCGATTACCTCCGACCAAAATCTTCCAATGGAACAAGAGTTGATTTTTTTTTCACGTTTCGTCTGATTTCGTCAGTGCGCGCACACAATCACACAAAAAGTCTCATCCCATTCGCGAATAATCTGTTTCGCCAATTTATCGGGTAATGGCCACAATGATTCCCTCGGACCCAACGTAAGTATAAATAAAGTAACAAGTGATAGAAACCATCGAGGTGAATTAATCACGTGGTATCGCATTTTATCGAACAACATGGGCTGCGAAAATCCACCTGAAATATTCCTTGCATAAGTCGACACATTATTTCTCTCCTCTTCTGTTCTTGCAAATAATTTCTCACTTCACTCTGGTCACTCACAGCTCTATTCGCCATGCCGGTTACCCAAAATTCACCGATGTTATCAGTATGCCTGAGATTAAATTGACGAATAATTGTTTCACGAGTTGATTAATTGCCCTGTGACTCAGTCGGACTGGGTGAATACGGTGCTGTTCATTGTGAATTATTTTTGTCAATGGTAATTGTGGTTAATTGCTAGGGGCTAGCTCACTTGGCCTCCTTTTCAGGCCAATAGCTTGAACTTAGGCCATTTGGATGATTTCTGTTACCAGTGGTGAATATTCAGCTGGAAAATTTATGGCGTGTTGAGGAGAATTTTTAATGCTATTTCTTCAAGTATTTAGATTCAACTCTGTTGGTATTGATTTTGTTGGAGCGGTTTTAATTGACGAGTTAACTCGGTTAAAATAGTGTCGTTGACCGGGTGATTCCCCTCGCCGGTACACATCCACATGTCCATGAACTCACTCTAGATTTTTTATCACCGGAATTTTTATGAGAACTACAGAAACTGCTAGCCCCTCACCCATCTGTTATCCGAAAATAGCTAAGCCGAGGAAAACTATTTTTCCAATAAGCAGAATAAGTCGTCGGTCAATAACTGTTTTCATCTTCATAAACTCTCCGTCACTCTTTAATTCTAGGAATCAGGTTGACAAATCAGAGAGAGGTGCGATGATCTGAGCTGTAAAACCTCTCGACTAAAAAAAAAAAATACATATAAATAAGAAACCGTGCAAACAGATATCAGTGTCACATGCCAACCGTTTAAATCAACAAATCGTCAAAACCGAAAATCTAAATTTCGAAATTCAAAAGCAACGAGCAGCATGGGGGTCCAAGACTTACAGACATTTCTGGACAGTAATTGTGTACCTGGAGGTGTAGTTCCAGTGGATCTCCTGAAGATCGCCAGGAATGTGATGCAACGCCAGAGAAATCGTCCCAACAAAAATCCGAATCATTCGAATATCCTGCGACTTGTTCTGGATGGTGAATGCTGCTTGGATCGTCTGTACGGTGGATATTTTTCAGACTGGGCATGTGGAGGCCAATGGAATCGAATGGTGCAGTTCCTGGCAGTGCTGATTCAATCAATAGAGCTGTCAGGAGTTGAGCTCGTGGTGTTTTTCAATGGCTGTAGCGAATCAGCAAGAAGAGCTGAGTGGATCCAGGATCAATTAAAAATGAGGATCAAAGTCAACAGCGTGTTGAAACACATAACGACAAAGGGAACTCCACCCCCGAAAATCTGGTGGACACCTCCAGTGTGTCTTCGCACAGGTCTTCGTATGGCCCTTCGTCATCTCAAGGTATCAGTGATGTGCAGTATGGACGATCATCATCAGGAGGTAATTGCCTACTGTCGTGAGAATAACTTCCACGGTCTCGTGGCGGACGACGCAGAGTACGCGATTTTTGACCCACCGAGATACTTCTCGTCGGAGCAACTGAAACTTACGTACAAGGGATCTCTCGACAGTAAGGAGTACCTGCTGTCAGAGGTGACTAAATCCCTGGGAATTCCATCAGACAGACTCTGTATACTCGGTGCACTCCTTGGTAATTACATTCTGACTGAGCACGATCTCGTTGATTTCTACAAGAGATTAAACATCAGCATCACTGGACCAAACAAGACGAATATCGATCAATCCATTAAGACAATTGCTGGATACATCAAGGATTTGCCATCAGCTGAGATCGATGTCGTTGCACAGAATGTTTTTGGCAGCTTGACAGACCCCAGGTGCTCTAAACTGAGACAGTCCGTCCAATATTACATTAATGGTACCAAGGAGGGATTTTTGCATTACAATAAGACAGTGAAAGCTGTCAAAGTGACCAAACAGGAGGTCAAACAGGTGCCTATGATACAGCAGAGCTCTGAGGAACCTGTGGGACAGAGTGAGGAAGATTCGGGAATTGAGACCTCCAGATTTGCCTCGGAGACTGTTGAGAGCGAGAGAGAAAGTCTTAATGCTTATAATGAGGCCACTGCCAATGCCAAAATTGCTCCCCAGATTGTCATCGATCCTCCTGGAGTCCAGGGTGCTGTCGAGACTGAGGCAAAGAACGAGGAGGAGAGCAATGGACAGGTCAATGGAACGCACAATCTGCTTATCAGCTCTTCGAGTTCGTCCAGTGGATCGTCAGCGACTTCTCCACTGCATGGCGAGAGAGAGGGGAAAAAGCATGAGGAGAAGATACTGAGTATTCCAACGACTGTTCCTGAAGTGATGAGGACAGCATCTGAGAGGCACCAGAAGGGGCTCATGTCACCCCATATTTATCAAATTTTAATCAACGGAGAGATCAAGCTGCCGGTTCTATTGGAGGATGAAAATCAGAGGGAAACACCATCGATTCATCTTATTTATCGACCTGTTAGGCAGATGGTTTATGCCATTTTGTTTAATCTGCATCATCGAATTTATTTGGCTACTAAGGCCAAGGAGAAGAATGATAACGAAAAAGTTGAAGTGCCTGATGTTGTGATCAAAGAATGGATATGGTCCAAAGGAAATCCATATCAAACACCTGAGTACGTAAAAGCTGAACAGATTGGATGGGGTGTACCAACAATTCAACGTCTCTGGTTTGGCACTGGAATTGATGACAAACGACGAAGGTTAAGGGCTTTCCTCACTTGTATGAAGTCCGACACTCCATTGATGCTAAATATTTCTTACGTACCACAACACTTGTTGGTGATGGCTTGTGTTCTCAGGTATATCATGTCATTCTCAGACAAAATAAAAATTCTACGACGTCAAGAGCTCGATGCCTTCATTGCCCAAGCATTTTCTCCTGATCTCATGAATGCTCAGTACCTCCAAGATCTCCAGCTTCCACTTGTCACATTCCGTGGAGTCCAATTGTCGACATTATTCATGGCAGGTGTTGAGACAGCTCTTTTAGCCAATGATGCATGTGGAGCTCCAATTCCATGGCTCATGTGCTGTCCCTGGCTATTTTTCGATGGAAAATTATTCCATCATACACTGGCTCGTTCGACTATGGCTAAAAATTTGTTGGACCTCTGTGGTGGACACATTGATCGTGTTTTCAAGGTCGAGAGGATGAGAAAGGCTATTCTGGAGGGAGTTAATGTGATGTTTGCACGTCCACCAATAACTCCACCTACACAAGGTGACTAATCCACCTGTATTTATTTTTTCAAAAGCGAAATGATTATATGATTGATTATAATGAAATTATTGTTTAGGCTTTCGTATTCCACCGCCAACACCTGCGAACATCCTGCCAGCAGGTTGCACTATCAATGAAACCCTGGTACGTGGGCGAGTGAGTCGTGGCAATATTCCTCTGAGGGAATTGATTCGTCGACCAGTCCCATCACGAGGTGGTCAATTGGAGATTGCTGGTGTTGTGGTGGGCCAATGGGGTGCCAATTATGGCCAGCCAGGAAGACTTCCCCAGCCAGTGCATGGCCCACCACGTGGACGAATGCCGCCACAGGTAGGAGACTCTATGCACCTTCGTCTGCAAGTTCTCTCTTGACACTCAATGACTTTATGTCTTCGTGTGCCTTTCGCAGAACACTTCCCACTGAATAAAGCCAATTTGTACATTCAATGTGTAACTGTGTATTTTATTTGTAATGCTATTCTCGTTATCGTGGAGCAGCAGGTTCTTCGTGCTCTGGTGAGAATCAGATGTTTTTGAGATTTTTTTTTCTTTTCGGTCAGTTTTGTCCTTCGGGAATTTAGAACTGGCTCTCTTGTCGTGGTTGTGTGGCTTATACTTTTTGTGGAGAACTGGAAGTTGTGGAAATTATTCAAGCCCATGGTGGTTGTTTTAGGCACCATTCCCTCGTCTTAATGCTCGCATTTTTCAACCCAGAGGCAATTCTGGCAATTCTAATGCTACGAGAGGAAAGAAGACTCAAATGAAGGTATTTACCTTGATAATTTTTATCAAGCATCTATCTCGTTATTAATCTGTAATAATTCAATTATTGTTCTGATTAGGCAACGAGTAAGAAGAAGGGTGCAATTAGGAAGAATCAGGAGAACACAAATAAGAATGAGTCAAAGGCCCGTGAAATTGTGGAGGAGACAAATGCTGATGGATTCTCGTAAGTCTGAAATTATCATTGAAATAAACCTTTGTGAATTAATTTGATATAATTTGCAACTAAATTGTGGAAAATTACAGAAAACTTTTGACGAAGGACGTTAATGCCAAGAAGATCCTTCCGACTCTAGCTCCTCAGTGTGATGTGAAACCGATAATTGACAGTAAACCAGTAGAAAAGGGCCAGGGTGATGCCCCTCTGGCGGATAATTAAGTCATGAATAATTTTCATGGCTCATTTTTTACATTAAATGAATCCTTAGAAGAAGGATAATGCTCTCGGATGTGACTAAAGACTGCAGCCATTATCTTTATATGACTATCGAGCTGTCGTGCACGTGAGTGATAGTAACTGAAAATCAGTACCAACAATTTACTCTCATTAATTCAAACAATTGCTTTTTTTTTCTACACGAAATTCGTTGATTGTTAATGATTTTTCTCTCCATGTTATCCGCCCCAGGAGTTGATTTTCAGGGGCTGAAAAATTTGTTTGTTTCGTTTTGTATAGAATTTATATGTTCTATTGACAAAAAATTATATTAAAAATGATAGAATCTTTTCTAAATTGTTGAATAATTAATAAATGATGAGATAATGATTTACTTTTGATTGATATGACGTGAATTTGGTGTACCATTGCTCGATGTGCATATAATGCTCTCTGGTGGGGCCAAAAATATTAACTATTAAGGCGACGACAGCCAGACGCTTTGGCGTGAGAAGTATTCAAATAAAAATTGAATTAATATAATCGAGACGTTAATTCAAGAGATTGAATTGATATTATTACACGACAATGCCCCTCACTGCCAAAAGTATCGCCCATAATGAATTATTCAAGGGAAAATAAACGATCGATTAATGAATGACAAGAGTAATCAAGGAAAATAACAAACGTGACTTTAACTATTGACATTTGTCCTCCTCCAAATTCATTGATCACTTGATTCTGGAATTGATTTTGGAGCCGAGGATCATGAAGATAGAGAACGAAATTTAAGAAATACAAATCGTCAACTGTTATAAGTATTTAATTATTAAGGAAGCGTGATTATTTTTTTGTAAACACGATGAAAAAAAAAATGTATATTTTCCGGTATTATATGAAATGCTCGCTTTGCCCAATCTTGGTGCCCTAAATCCTCGTATTTCAATTTGTTATTTAATTATTCGAATTGTAATTGTCGGTGACAATTGCAATTTAGTGGGGAATGATTAGTTGTTAAGACACTGGAACAAATATTATTAATACGATTAATGTGGGAGACCAAGAGGGCATTATTGGCGTAAAGAGACTGATGCTTTTCATATAGGTAAAATATATATTTATACATTTATTAAAGGATTATTATACGACCTCTATCTCTGCGTATTTTCCAAAGTTTTTTTTCCTTTTTCATTTAATGAAATTTAAAGGGAGTGAGTAAATGCGCAGAGGTAGAAACTGTAGGATCTCCCATATTCACATTGACTTGAGGGTTTGGAGAGAAAGACGTGAAAACTCTCGGAGTTTTGAAAAATTGAGGGTAAAGTCTGATCCAAGAACTGGGAAATTCAATTGGCCGTTTCGTACACTTGAAATTGGTAAAATTCTGACAGAATTTCAGTGGAATTCTCCAGGAAATGCGATACGATTTTCCCTCAAGGGTTTTCCTCCATGTCTTTATCGTTTTTTCGTTTGTGAATTGCCAATGCGTTTGATTGGATCGAGGTGCCTGGTTAAGTGAGAAAAACAATGAACAAATTTATGAAGAATTGTGAATATATTATTTATGATACGTACTATATATCCGTGATAAAGATGAGAGAATTTCTAGGGGATCAGTCTACGGATTTATAATTTTTTAATTCGCAATGGGCATGATTGTGTAAATAGTTGAATGAGTGGGTGATTTTTTTTTTCATTTTCTACCTGGAGTAGTAAGAGGTAACTACTTGTGTACATATTTATTTGCTCGGATGTATTGATGAGTGGAAAGTGTATGAATGATGAGTTTAAATAGTTAGGGGTTGTAGGCGGTGGCATTAACGTTATTTGAGGGAGAATAGCATGGGAACAACCTGGGGGATGATAAGTCACTTGGGGGAATGTTTGTTTCTCCACTCGTGATTAAAGAGTCGTAAGGGAAAAGTGATAACGCCGTTAATTGAGATAATATAGAAAGAGGTTCAAGATTGATAAAAAAAAATAATGTTATATTTTTGTAGATTTGTTATTGCGTAATATGCATTGAGACAATGAGACATTTTGTACGACTTAAAGAGATATACAGTCGTTGAGAGGTAATTTGAGTGAATGATGATTTGAGTGAATGATTCGTAACGCAAAATGGGAGCCTCGAAATAGAAAAAAAAAACTATTGATTTGATAGGAGATATGAAAAGGCAACACTTCAATCGTCAACTTCGATAATTCACGTTTAATTCCGATATTTTTGGGATACTGATGATAAAATCATTGACATTATGGTGATAACGATTGTAACAGAGAAAATTTATGCCTAGATTGTGCTCACAAGACACTTGGATATTTACTCCAGTCTTTTCAAAGCATTTTGACATAATTTTTTCTTGATAATCTTTAAATGCGATACTAAAAATACGTAAATGATTACACAAACCAATGTTGACATAGCACTGCAAAACTTGTCTGATTAACTGATGGGAATGTGATGATGATAAATGGTCGATGTCTTTAAGGATCAGTCGAAACTAAAACTTGAAACATTTTAAAAACGTAAACGCAAATGTGTGACATTAAAAAATCACTCGCCGCTGTAACCACTTTCATTTTAAAAGCGATGAAAATACGAGATCGATGGGAAACATCGAAAAATTCACATCCGTAATGACGTGGGAAATTCTAATCATCTCGATGATGAATTCTTTTAGGAGAAAATTCACATTTTTTCCTAAAATTATTGTTTCACCACTCCACTGGCGGTTTGAAAAATCGTATCAATGAAGTTATACAAAAATCGAATAAATCAACAAACCACTAATTGATACAAATCTTTGGTCCAGCTGCAGCTGAACGATTTACCAAAAAAAAAAAAAAACATTAACGGGTTTTATTGGTTGAAGTAAAAAAAAATGGAAATGCAGGAAAATTCACATTTTTAAAGCACTGAGCCAAAAAATTCGTGAAATAAAATGAAAAAATTATAAATATTCAAAGAGTAGAGCTGAAAAAATAGATACAAAATGATTAAACGGCATGTAATACAAAAAAAACATAAGAAAAATTGGGTGCGCTGAAATTGCGCCTGCTTTATTTGTTGTAGCATACCGGGACCCACAAAAAATAAAAATAAAAATGAAAGAAAAAAAACTTATCTAACAATTCAATTATAACTGTAAACACGTTGATGAAAAAAAAATCATAATCTCTATATACTGTATTTTATCTATGTAAAACTCCATTTTCAAAATATTATGCATCATGCCGATGGACGGAAGAAAATGAGAAATATAAAAAAAATATTAAAAAGTAATTAATAACAAAAAAAGAATGTATTCTGGTGCAGAGAGATGAAAAACGTTACTGGAGTGTAGTCAAATGCTTTGCCAACGAATTGTAGTTTGTACCGCGGGATGACACTTATAATCCCATCGAGTTTAAAATATTATTATTACAATTATTAGCACCAAGCCCGTCTATTTGTTCCTAATCTATTCAATGTTCTATTTTGAGAAAAAGAAAACTCTCTCGATGGTAATTTTATCCCTAGATTTATCTTTGATAATGTGTAATCTCATTATGATTTGATTTAAAAATAATTTATCATTCAGTAATTCTCAATGACTTCATTGCTATGAAAAGAAGCAAGGGATAAATAAATAATCATTCAAAAAATGAATAATCGAAACCTAAAAAACGATTAGAGAAAATGATAAATTCATAAAATATTCTGTAGAAAATTGTGCCGATTCTGAAAACTGAATTTGAGGGAATTTAAAATGAGAAAACACTATCCAATGTAGAATGAAGCGCACGTGGGTCCCATTATTATAATGTTCTTAATGAAATAGTAGATATGAAAATGCAAAGATAAAACAAAACAAGCAATTTAAAAACGAATTTCTGCAATTGTTTATGTTCTTCCCTTTGTTAGCGGAATAAACAATATGAAATGACCATATATTAACGCAAAAAGCCAAGCAAAATGTTATTGTAAGCTATTATCAATTAATCATTTGTGTTTAATTAATTTTTCATTAAATTAACATTGTTTCAATTATTACTTTATTTGCAATGAAATAAGTGCTGTAATTCTGCGGTCCAGAGTCTACTCTTATAAAAAAAAAGAAAATTCTACGAAAAACATGATGGTTTGTGAAAAATGTCGATACACGTCAGCTATTAAATATCCACCATTTTTTCAATTAAAATTAATGAAAAATAACGTATATTCGTGTCTTGAAAAACACGACTGAGCAAATCGGAGAGTTCTCTGGCAATCGCCTTCAGACACAGACATATAAAATTTCACATCATTAACATTTATTTATCCCATAGAAGGTATGTGTGCACATAGGCGTTAATTCGAGTGAAGAGATAAAAATTAAGTTTGAAGTTACTAGAAATGAGAGAAAATTACCACAATATCCGCAGATAACCGAAAGTATTCATTAGACTCTGCATAAACTCGAGTGAATTTTTGGGAAGAAATAAATGGAAGAAGAATTGTATGTGTAAACTCATTGTTTTATTTCCCATTCTCGATATAGAGTAGTCCAGTAATTTTTCAGGTATCAAATGACAACAAGAATAATTGGGTGTATTAAATAAATTTTATTTCGTGCTCTACCAAACTCATCAATCCACTTCTACTGTTACAGGGTAAACGAACAATCCATGTTTAAATTCTTCGATGTCAGTGATGTAATAATCATCAGGCTTTCCCAATTTTTCTGTTGGCAAGTTTTTCATTAATTTCAAACTGTACTCAAACTCCCCCCCATACTTTACCAAGTTCTTCCTCTTGGAATTCTTTTGAATTTCCTCGTTATCAGGGACACAATTCTCTTCTCCAGAGCTCTTGCTCTTATCATTCCCCACAACCTGAACACTTAACTTCTTCAGGTTCTTTCCCCCAATTATATGATTCTCCAGCCAATCCCTAAGCTCATCCAGACCGATCTCCGAAACCATCTCCACTTCCTTAGCCAACCTATCAAAAACGTAATGATTCGCTGTAATTTCTCCCCAATTCCTGGTGACCTCCTCCTTCAAATGAATATCCGCGCACTGCTTGACCTTGATCAAAGCCTGCTTGATCCCCTCGAGTTCTTTCTCCGTGGACTTTTTGAGTATCTCATTAAAGCTCTTCAAGAACCCCTCAATTCTCTCATCAATAAATTCCACAGAGAATTTATCAGCCTGGGTGTGAACCGTCACAGAGTATCCAAAGACTCCACTGGTATTCCTCAACATGGCAAAGACATTGTACCCCAATTGCTCCTGAGTTCTGAGCTGATTGAATATCGGCTCCTCCATGAGTATCATAAGGAGCTCAATGATAACCGAGAGTCTCGTCGAGAACAAATCCGATTGATAATAATTAGTGACCACAGAATTAGCATCCGTTCCATTAAAATTTCTGACTCTGCAGCATCGCACTTCACCCTTGGGGAGGATATTGACACGATGCCTGGGGAAAGTATTGGGCAGCAGTGGTTTGCATCCAAGAATTTTAAAGCATTTGAGTGCATTCTTGATGACCTCCTCCTCCCTCATATTCCCCTGGACGAGGCATTGGACGTAGACGTGATTGCAAAAGTACTTGACGAAATTCTTAAACTGATCGTAAGTCACTCCTGACACGGCTGCATGTTTATCAACAGCTGTCCAGTGATTAACGATCAGAATGGAAAGCCTGACGTCTTTATTCAATTTTGAGGGTTTGAGAAAGGTATTGTAATAGTCCTTCAGCTGTTCCTCCTTCATGATCTGAAATAAGCTCTCGGTAATGAGCTCGGAACAGTTGGCGATGTGCCTAGAGATTGTCTCTAGCAGAAGAAGAAGCCTTTGATTGAATCCACAGACTTTTATTAGGAGTCCATTTTCACCATGCTCAATCTGATAATTGAGCTCTGCAGCGGTTGCTGGATACAGTTCCTCCACCAGAAGTTGTTTGAGAACCGTCACCATGAGGTCAGTCATCCCAGCGCCCTCCGGAGATGCTACGACCTCTGGAGAAATGAAATAAAAGTGCATATAGCACTCTGGCAGCCTGAACTTTGAGTCCGGCTTGTACCAGATTTCTGAGAGGGCATCCTGATGAATCTTGCTGGGATAAAGGATCTCTGACTCAATGGGAATGAGACTGAAGTCATCAGTAATAAAGATATTTGGTTCTGGCAAATGGAACTCCTCGAATGGCTCCAGTGTTTTCCAGGATTTGATCCAATCCTCTGGGATCTTTGAGTCGGTGTATTTCGTCTGGAACCAGGGCTCCACCTTCTCAAACTTCTCGTCATCGAATTTCTTGTCAAAGAGAATGATATTCACATTATCAGGTGTTAGTGCTTCCATGCAAGCAGCTATCCCCTCTGGATTATACTCAAAGTAGAGATCACTTCCTGTGATATAGTCCTCAGGTGAGTAAAAGTGCATGTTCTCGCAGAGGTCCTCCACGTACTCAGCAGGCGGCACCTCGTCAGCAAACCTGAAGTTGGTGTCCTCGATCATTTTGATCTCGTCGAAAATCCTCTTCTGAGGTCCCAGTTTGCGAATCATGTTGATATACGAAAAAATGGCATCGAGGACTTTCTTCAGGTGTGAGTGACCCTCGTCTGTCAAAACTAAGGACAAACTGAAGAGTGCGTACATGGAGCTGTGCTCAAAGCCACTCTCTCCATTCCCAGAAAATACATCAAGACACCACATTTTCTTTCTCAGATAACTGATGAGGGAGCCCTTGCCCTCGTGTCCTATCAGCCAGGAGACGTACTGGTGGGGTTTTGATCTGTACAGATGGTGCAGCGATCCCATTGCCCACGTGAGCTCCACCTGACAGATGTCTTTGATTGGTTTTATCTTATAAATTCGTCTGAAGTGATCGGTATCGAAGGACTTTGACCCATTGAACCTGGAGAAATCGTCTGGAGGGAGATTATTGCAGGGAACATTGACAAAACACTGTTTCACATAATCCTCGAGAGTATCCAAGGGTAATCTAGCCTGAATTGTCATTGTCATCCTGTGGGCGCTGTAGTGGCGTTCCCTGAAGTTATGGAGCTCCTCATAAAGTTTATCATCTGTTACCATATCACGAAGGGACACGAGATTTCCCCAGGGGAATTTTTTCGCTGGATGGTGTGACTCTGCGAAGCTGCAGAAGAGCTGCTCCTTTCGATAGAAGTCAGAAGGCAATGCCATCTGGAATTCACTCTCCACTGCTTCTCTTTCCCGAGTTATAGCATCCCTCAGCATCAGGGGATTGATGAAGAACTGGGCAAAACGGTCCAGAGCACTCAGCAGGTGTTTCTCATCGATTTCGAAGTAGAATGTCGTCTGCTCGCACTCGGTGGAGGCGTTGTCTGAGCCACCGCGTTTTGTTATAAAGGCATCGAAATCGTTCTCCAGGGGATATTTCTTCGAGCCCATGAAAACCATGTGCTCCAGGAAATGGGCAAGACCCTGGATCTCTGGAGGATCGCTGAATGAACCAACACCCACGCAAAGACCACAGGCTGCCATCTTCTCGTCTTTCTTTGGGGCCTTTGGAGATGTGCACTCATCGTCTGAGTAACTCTCCATGAGTTCTGAAGCGTCTGATGAGGAGGAGCACTCGGCGTCTGAACCATCTGTCGATGATTCATCTGGGGATTAACCGAAAAAATGAGAAAATCAAATAAAAGCGAGAGAGAGAATGAAATAAGTAACACACCTGTATCGGCCTCAGAGATTTCGTCATTTCCACAGGCACCATTTGCTGTGTATAAATCAGCTATCAAAAGGGCAGTGAGTCCATTTGGCAGTTTAATAACCCTGTACTCTTTTTTGTCATTGTCAGACTTGATCGGGATGTCCAAGTACTCCACTTTGATGTTAGCAGTTGCCTCTTCAATTTTAATATCACTCATAGATGAAGCAGTGATTCTGTCATCAGCTAGGTTAGAATCCTCAACGGAGGGAGAATCACTCTGGGGGATGACCATCTTCTGGGAAATTTGATTGTGATGAGATTTGAATTTTTTCTTTACTGGTGACACGCCCAGAGAGCGTTTTGGCATTATCCGGTTATGACTGGCGAGATTTTTGACAGCACATGAGAGCAGCGTGGATGGACGGAATGAGGAAAACATTCAAACGTAACCAACTTCAATATTAACTTCGAGTGGATAAAAAACTGACGTCATAGTAAAATATCAGAGCTGTCGAATTTAAATAATATTGTAAATTCAATATCTAATCACATTTTTAAACAATGCCCTGCATCTTTAAGCCGCGAAAAGGGTATTGATGAAAATATTACTCAATGATTAATATGAATTTGTGAATATATTGCACTAGAGCCTAAGTAGAAAGGGAAGCTGGTTTATTCAACTGCAAATACTTTCTCATTTTTCTCGATGATGAAATTATGATTTTCACAATAATTGTTTAAGCATGTTTAATTTCTTGAGGATGTTATCTTGCTGGAAGCATGTACTCCAACGACAAGTTCATTAATTTCTCACGAAGTTCCATTTTCCTGGAGTCATCACAGGCCCTCAATATCGACAAGATCATGTTCACGAGGGCTTGATCCTGATCACACGATTCAAATTGCAGCAATTTATTAACAGCCGCAGAAATCGATTCACTGGCCTGACGAAGAGATTGTTCAAGGGAATCCAGGGAATTTTGAGTACTTGATCTCAAACGTTTTTCACGTTGAAATTGAGGTACTGAGAGGTCCTCGAATTCCATTGTCTCCACCTCCTCACATTCTAACTGTGGAATTAATTAATTCACGAGCATTATCGATGAACATCAACAGGTTAGTAATATAGGAAAATTACAGGACAATATCTCCAAATTTGTGACACCTCGATTTCTAAAACAAACTCACATGTTCTTCGATTTCATTTTCACCGTTCTCCACTGGAGTTTCATCATTATTCAGCTTTTTACTTGGATAAGTTCTGAAAGATCACAGGAAAAACAATTTTGAAGGAAGAATTCTTCTCACAACAATTTATTTTCAAGTACCTTCTTTTTCCTATGTGTTTATTCATAAAAGCCATGCTCTCATAAAGGGGCCAGGGCTTTCGTAAAAGTAGTTTTGATCCTCTTTTGGCTTCTCCAGCCCTTCTCTGTCTCTCCCTCGAATAATATTGCTTCAATCTCATCCATCGCTTTTGGCATTCTGACACTGAAATATTATTCGATTACTTTAACCTCAAAAAAAAATTAGATTTCCAGAGATAATTACAGGATCTGTCACCACTGGTTTAATCCTACGGGATAATTAATTTCAATGACGAAATAACAGGTACCAGTTTCATTCACACTTTCTGCTACATCCATCCACGAATTTTCGACAATATCTGGATCTCTGTAATGACGATGTGTCTTGTCCCATATATGACGATGAGATCGAACAACTTCAATTAATAATTCATCTCCCTCTTTATATTTATTACTGACTAGATTCGGTTTTATACCATTATCTTCATCAGAAGACATTCTATTATATTTTAACTGAGAAATTACACTGTAGTTTATAGCTTATATCTTGGGAGCCTTCGCACGGTTCTATTCCATTCCTCCATTGTACGTCACAATTATCGCTCGTACCCTATTCAATTGCTTATTGCATCTGCTTTCGAATTTTTACCCCTGATCATGCATTATGGATTGTGATATAAAATAAGAAATTCCCTTCGGCAAATGAATTCAATTATTATTTATAGAAACGCTCCTCCGATTGTCTTCCATATAAAAATACAAAAATCATAGATATCACAGCGATTTAACACACGATATATAATTGTTCACTTGGAGCGTTGAAGCATGTAGATAATTGTGGAGAATCGTTGGACCCATTCATTAAATGTCGCCCCATGTACCACAGAATCATTGATGGCCATAACTTCAGCGACTGGTTGAGAGCACCAGGCATCGAAGATAGAATTGACTTCTGTAATTTCCTGTTGACACTTCTTTGCTCCTGAATTTGCCTCGTCCAGCAGTTCAATGATCTCATTCTCACGAGTTAATGATGGAAGCGATATCTTCAGATTTATCTCTAGCTGATTTGCGATATCTGATTCCTGTTTCTTTTGCTTCAGGAGCTTGTTGGCGATGATATCGAGGTAGCAGGTGATCAGGTGATAGAGAGCTGGTTGAAATACTGGAGTTGCTGACGTTAGGGTGGGAAAGGAGATGGAGGCATTGCTCATGCACGTTGTGGTGTGTCTGTAAGCTCCAACTTTTCCACTTAGCAGAATCTTGTTCAGAGCATTAATATCTAGATTCTCCTGGAAGACCTCCAGCTCATGACTAAGATTCCCATTCATCCAGTCTGGTGGAGTTTCATGTTGAGTGTTGAGAGCATGAATTGCTTCCAATGTAACAGCTAAATTGTTCTTCAGAGTCATCAAAAAATGATTGCCAGACTGCAAAAGCCCCAGGGACTTGTGGAGCGTCTGGACACGCTGCTCCATCTGATAATCAATCTCATTGATCTCAGACTCGAGCTCATGGAGATCCAGGGAGACAGCATTCTGCTCCTCAATAAAATGCTTCATCTTCTCCATTTCATTCTGAAGAACCTTCTGCGTTGCTTCGAGCTTTGTCACCTCCATGGAGGTCATCAGCCACATGTCCTTGTCCTCGTCATTCTCGAAAAACGTGGATATGTGCTCGAGATATTCACTGGCACGTGCCTCGTACTCTTTGGCCTTCTCCATGTGAATACATTTGGCAATTGCCAATTTCACCTGCTGACCCCGAGCACTCGCTATTTCTAGATCTAACTGGGAAACCGTCTTCTTGTTGTGATTATCCTCGACCTCGTGTCTGCATAACTCCTCGTTGTTTCTTATTCGATTTTTCAGAATCCAGTCCCACAATTCTGAAATAGCAATTGGACCTAGACTCTCCTGAATCTGTTTCCAAGCCTTTCGTTTATCTGTTCTCGAGGAAATTCCACCCACGAGAGTCAGGGACTCATTCATCGTCGACTCGTCAATACCTGATTGACATGGAGGCAGCAAATCTTGACAGACTGTTCTCATATCCTTGCAGTTCTTCATCTTGTCCTTAATCTCACGATGACTCAACTCTAGAAGACTCTTCTTGGCTTCCAAGGCCTGTTTAGCTGCTCTGATTTTCTGCAGTTTTAGCCCTGGAAATAATGAAGGGATCATTGACGAAATTGAACAGAATGATTTTGTTTTCTCACAAATTACCCTTTTCTTTGATAGAATTCTCCTTTTTCTCGCATTCCCCTTGAAGATTTTTCACTTGAGCCTCTAATAAACTTCTCTCAGACTTCAAACGTTTGGTGTTGCGAATATGTTGGATAGCAGGGGTCTGTCCCTGATTTTTCAAGTGATGAAGTAAAATATTTTTTCGAGTCTCCAGAACATCGTTGAACGGATAAATTGCAGATCCAATTTCCTCCCACAACAGTCCAGTAATTCCGTGGTTGAGTCTGCAACCGAGTAATTAACATTTTTGAAAATAAAATCAACACTCCAGATATTTTTTAAAGTTCATAACAGAAGAGTCATTAATCAAATCAGTTAAATTTATAACCTTACATTTTTTTAACATGATTGGAGCAGACGGATGGAGGACACCCCAACTTTTCCGCCCACTCGAAGTTATTTACTATCTCATTTGCCTTCGGCATATCCAATAGTCTATATCATTAATAATGAAACTTCAGTAATTAGAACAATTGAAACTTCCCGTAGCCGTTAACCCTGTAATGACTGCCGCTGAAATAAACGAAGTTCAATTTCAATTTAGGATTGACTTCGAAGTGCATACAAGAGATGTCTCTGGCTGGACGAATATGGAAAATTCCCTTTCAAACCTTCACTATAATTATTCTCTAATTTTTTTAATAAAAAACCTTCTGCTCCTCACATTATAGAATTTTTAATGAATTGTCTTACACGTCTGAATAATGCAAAGCAATTATTCGCTTTGCAATAATTTATTTTCTTACGGAAATGAATATAAATGATGAAAACAGGGAAATGATAAAGAGATGGAATTATCTTTCAACTTTCATCCAGGAAAAACAATTCTGCAACAACTTGAGATATCGCTTGTAGACGGGTCTGATTACAAAAATTATTTACACTCGTGTTTATTCCCAAACTTCTACGCAAATTCCACATCGCAAATGATCAAAGTACGTTAATGATTAGAAAAATAGAATAATATCAGCTGCCGCATTACTTCACTCGACATTGAACTCATTAAGCAGAAAAAATGGAGTCCATCCGCGCAGAAAATTCCGTCAAACATAAGCAGAAATAATTCTTGAGTTCAACAAAAATGGAACTCGATAAATAAGTGACTCATGAAGCGAGTCTAAAGATTTCTAATAATTCAATTCACTACAATAATCTGCACTAACATCTCAATTTTAATCTGTTAAATTTTCCTGGGAAAAATTGTGCAGACGATTGCCCATGACCTCATGGAAGTTGAGGAAAAAAAATCATAGGGTTGTTGTCCTTGAAGGATTTACCTACTCAGCTCTTATAAAACCCTCATCAGGTTGTTTATGCGTTCACTGCTCTTGGCGTTTGTCTTTCCCATCGATCCACCAGTATCTCTCTCGACTCCAATGAACGAACGCATTCAGCCATGAAGAATTACGCGAAAGAATGTTTTACAACGAAAAGAAAAAACAACTGCTAAAATCTCTCCAAATTCCCTACATCACCTCTTCCGATCATTTTCGTTCCTCGTCATTCCAACGGTTTCGATTTTCTACTTTCTCTTTCGCTGACACTTAATCCTAGAATTCAATTTTTACATTAACAAATTTTTCACTGTCTTTAAAGAAGATATCCCTAATTTCCCCAGCACCTGCCACTGCTACCGCAAAAACTCCAGTGCTCCAGACCCTGGAGAAGCTCCAAGAACCTCAACGAGTGAATTTCATTCGATTAATCCTCTGAAAAGCCATCAATAGATGCCCTGGACATCCTGCCACCCCCGCATTTTCCTGTTCGCCTCATACGATCGTTTGAAATCGGTCGGAGTCCACTGAAGCGTAACCAGTGAATGAAACCGGCAAAAAGTCCCGCCCAGCCATCCCATAACCCCGATTTGACATCCTTAGGGGTATGCATAATCTCCTAGTAAAGAATCCTCTGAGTTTGGTATCAAATGGCCGCCCATTGCCCCCAACCGTGCGAGCGATAGCACCCCGAGAACCAGAAATCCCGAGACTCTGCCCCCATGCATCGGCCAAAAGGTCACAGGCCTGTAAAAATTCCTGGTATTAACTCAAGAGATCCTTCACCACTCATGATCCCCTGATCTCTTAGACGCTGGAGTTTCTTTCAAACCCACTGGAGCATCACATGTTTACACCCTTCAGGGGATTAACGAAGGGCGGCTGATTAGGCACTCATGAGTTACCCCAGAGGCCTATGCCAAGTAAATCCAGGATAACACTCAACACCAGTGGATATAATCCGTGTGAACAGCTTCCAGGATTGGCCTACGGTCAAGCCATTGTCCATTGTCCAAAGCACCTGCCCTATTCCTTGGAACCAGACTACGAGTACGAAACAGCAGTCAATCCTCGAAATATCCAATAACATAAACTGGGATAGGCCTGTCCTCCCGAAGGATAGGCCTACCAGAAGAACCCCTCCCATCCCATGGTCCCCTGATCACTGGTGTATCACATTACACGTGACCGTAATCCCAAAGTAAACCTGGAGTCATTGGTCGTGTAGCAGTGTCCGTGCATCCAGATCCTCCATAATATTCCAAACAGTGGCAGTGGCAATGGCCTCAGGTTAAATTAGCATATTAATAAGAAGACTGGCGACAAGGGTCAGGGTAGCAGGATTAGGATACAGCGTGGCAAGCAGTCGCGCCTCGCAAGGATCTTCGGGATCCTCCTCGTGTCCTCTGTATTCCTGATTCCCGAGTCTCCGCATTTAGAACTCAATGGAGCGAAACTAATTGCTGGGATTGTGCTAAGTCTTTTCGTGGGTTTCATATTTTTATTTTCAATCCTGTGGGGCTGGTACATCACGTTCACAATTATTCCAGCACGACGTACAGGTAATTGGAGGGAGAGAGATTACCGTCTGGTCTTTGTAAAACGATATTTCACAATGGTGAGAGCGAGCGGTGGGGGATTGGTTGATGAGGCTGGCTCTCGACCAATGGAGGGCCGGCCTCTAAAATTAGGAAACCGGCCCTCCTGCCCCTTTGCTCTTCCCTGTCAATGACGAAACCACAGTTTTCCCTCTCCGCAGGCTAACCACCTCCGGCCTCAGGATGCTCTCCTGCTATCACGGATATCACTTTTCATTTTTTTCTTAACCCTTTGACGCTTCGCCGAGTGCGATGGAGAGAGTGAAGATGAGGCCGAGGGCTATTGTCTGTTATTCCGAGAGGACTCATCGCCAGAAGGTTTTTCCGGAGTTTTTCCATATTCAAGGGGATATTCAAGACGTTAACCGTCTGTCTGAAGGCATAGGAACGCAATGATCGATGGTAAATTATAATAAATTCTACCTATTGCATCCTGAGAATCTCAGTCACTTATCCATAAGTTCAATAAACAATCGATAAATTGATCGCCAAAGCTGTCGACACATACAATTATATTTTTACGCATATGCTATGAATATATTTTAAAACCATCTGGACACCTAGGGAATATTTTTCCCTGGAGTCTATCTAAATAATTATTTCCCACCATCCACGGAATTCCACTATCCGCCTGATTTCCTATTCCAAGTTGTGTCGTGCGTCACCAGAGCCACCCACAGTCTCCCACGGGAGCCGTTCAAGTCCCTCCGACGAATAAAAAGAAAAAAATAAAATATAACCAACACGACGATCTGTTCGCCCGATCTGTGATCCTGATGCAAGGTGTATCGCTAGTGGCTCGACCTAAACGGGTCTGGTGATCCCTCGGGTACAATATCCCCCAACAGCAATGGACTCCGAACCCGACAACCCGTGGGGCTTCCCAAAAGTGCCCTTTCGTCCTCACCACAGTCCTCATGATCTCCTGATATTACTTGTATCGTGGGATTCTGTGGAGCATCGCCGGGACAACGACGAGGTGACCTTTGGCGTGATAATGATATCCTGATGGGCGATGTATCGCAGAAAGCTGGAGCCACTCAAGTGCATCATCCCCTCGAACCAACTCCCATTTTTCAATCCATCTCCTCAGGAATAAGTGGGAAATATCCGAGCCTGCCACTTCCTATCGTCCTCTGCTTCCTTACTATCCTTGTTTACCTCTGTCTTCACTTTGCAATCCCTTCCACGCCCTTTTTTCACACCCACGCATCTAATAGTCAGGTGGAATAAACATCCTTATGTATGAAAACATTTTCTTACAACAAAATCAACCCCAGAGGCGAAAAAAGAGACAGAACGAGGGGCTGTCCCTTTTCAATAAAATACAGTGGCCCAGGATGAAGTGAAAATACCCTTCAAAGTCCTCCATGCACCTCATAACTCCCTGCTATTTCTATATAATTACTGTAATTTATGTTGACATGGACACACCCTTCGGCCCTATGGATTCCTGGTTGTTACCGATTAAATCGATGAACTGTCGCTGCTACATCTATTCATTCCCTTCAACATTTCGTTATCGAGTGCCTCTGCACTCATTAGTGAAGAGTGAGCTCGCAGGTAATTACTCTGAACTCCAATATTTCAATGAAAAAATATTTTTTCACTTTCTGTAAATATTTATAATTAATTTTTCATTGACAGAGCTCAGAACGAACGCGTATGACTGCTGATAAATTCACAACTCGGTGTTATATTCCTGAGACATGTAACACTCTACGAGTAATGATAATGTAAACATGAAAAAAGTGTCCATGTATCGTCAATGATGGAATATTACATGCGCAGTGTAAACAACTCCGTTACATCGACGTAACAGGAGAATAAGCGATCAGCAGAGGTAACAGCGCGGGAAACTTTACTAACCAGAGTCGCATATTACAGATGGAGGAGGTATAGAAACGTCTTTGGTCACACATTATTCGTTATTTCAAACTGGATGAAGAGTAAATTAATGGATTATTCCGAGTGATTTTGAGCGGTCCATTGAGCAGCTACTGATTCCTCATGGATTAATTGTGACGAGTAATTGCGGATGGGTGATAACAATGAGCTCTCATGGTATCATTACTGATACCACTTGTTCAGCTGGAGATAGGGGATGAAAGATATGACGATTCATATCTCTTGCACGCTGGAAAATAGGGAAGCATGAGTGGTAGGAGTTTTGCGTTATGCCTCAACGGGTCTTCATATTTCATACGAGTATATGCATCCGCGGCCTTGACAACCCCCCGCCCACTTTGTCACACTTTCCGGTTTTTTATGAATCATTTTCGTACCTCCTCTAATTTCTTTTATATATGAGAGTGAATGAATAAATGAAATGTATATCAATTGAGAATCTGTGGAATTCATCGGTGGCATTGGTGTCTATTGGATTATGGTATTAAATAAGCAAACACATTTGTTAACTTTCAGAAATGATTTTCATTTTGAATATCTCTAAGACTTGACAGAAGGCACTTCCACACAATGAATATCTAGAAGAGAATGAAGAGGGATTACAAGTTAGTTTCAGTTGCCTCGGAGAGGGCAATATTATTTCCATCCCCTGAAATATTTCCTTTTTCCTTTTTCCGACACCTTCTGGGTAGCAGATGTATTTTGGAAATATCCAAATGTTATAAAAAGTGAAAGGA